GAGAGAGAGAGAGAGAGAGAGAGAGAGAGAGAGAGAGAGAGAGAGAGAGAGAGAGAGAGATGCTCTGCTCCCATGGCTCGATCTGACGCCCGCAATACGCCGGCGGACGAGGAAATCGCACAGCAGTTTGAACGGCTTCCAGTGATCTATTGATCAGCCACAGACCATACAACACGTTTAACAGCTCCTAGAACGGTCGCCTGGTGTGCTATATCTTCTCAGACAATTTCGATCATTGAAGCCCTCTGACCCTGCACGGTATCGCTGCTTTCGTCTAATCACTGATGGTGAACTAATGGCGCGGGCGTTAAACAGAGAGGCGGCGACGTCATAAGTAGCAACCCACGTAAACGGCATCATCGAGAGACCCGTGCTGCGCAACGGAGACGAGCGCCGGCTGGTGGTTGGCGGCGGAGTTGATGGTCGAGATCTTGTACACACCACCGGGGAGGCCCTTGTCAATAACCTGGGAGATGATACCGTTGGCATCGGCGGGGGCGTTTAAACCCTTGAAGTACGCGAAGCTTGCGGGATCAGTTGGCGCAGTCTGGTCAATCTTGTCGAGGTGCTCGATGACGATGTGGGAATGGCCGATAATGATACCCTGCGAGTTGACCTGCTGGGGAGCGGCAAAGTAGTTCTCCTGCGCGTTCACGAAGTTACCGGTTTGGAGGTTCTTGATCGCAAGCTGGACGGTGAACGGCGTGTTCGCCTTGATTGAGGTATTATCGAAGTTCTTGGGGAAAACGAACTTGGCCGACGGCATCGTCGTGTTGGGAGCGAGCTGACCCATAGGCGCAGGGTTGCAAGAACCGGTCGTGATCTGCTTGCCGTTTGTGATAGTTTGGCCGGCGCAGAAGCTAAAACACAATGTTAGTAGGTGAGGACGATGATTTGGACGGAGCGACTTGCTTGATGAAATTGTTGGTCGACGTAAGCGACGCGACCTGACCGGCGGTGGGTACGTCTTGACCATCGTTCGCGAAGCCCGTAGCGATAACGGAGGGGTCGAGAGTCAACGAAGATTGAATATCGGTGCTGTTACTTCCGCTCTGTGTAACGTTAGGTCGCGAGTGATCATAAGGAGCGCGAGTTACTGACGGTGGCGGTAGCGGTGCTATTGGCGGTGTCCGTGGTGTTAGCAGCAGCAGTCGCGTTGCTCGCTGCTACGCTTGCGGCGGCCTAGATAGCCGATCAGTGTGATCCTTCCTTACTTTGGGGACACATACGGCGCTAGCTGTCGCAGCAGTGGCAGCAACAGAGGAGTTTGCGCCAGCCGCGTTGTCTACGCTGGCAGCGGAGGCGGTGGCAGCAGCCTACGATCTTATGTCAGTAATACAGCTTGAGATGACGTGAGAGAAACGTACCGAGCTGGCTATAGCGGTAGCAGCCGCCCCGCCGCTGCCCTGCTGGCCCTTGCCTTGACCACCCTGGTTTCCAAACCCGTGACGAAACCCTTGGTCACCGAAACGACCACGGCCGAAGGGACTCGGTCGGGCAGAGACGGAAATCGCCAAGGCAAGAACGGCAAGGAACGTGGCACGCATGATATTCAGTGATTGAGACGATGGAATGTTTCGACGGAGAGAATGATGTAAAGGTGGTGGCCAAACGAAAAATCAAAGGTCGCCGTCAAAGAAAGGTTGGTGAGACGATGCCTGATCGTGACCCAGAAGAGAACGTGAAGTTTGACCAAACCGGTGGAAGGTGGGGGAACAAGGATCCAGGAGGCGGCAAGCATTTTATATCCTCCTTGTAAGATGGTACAATTTCAGAGCGCCCAGATTGGTTTCCATCGCTTCGGTGAAAAGCAGGCTAGTCGTTGGCAACAGCCAGACGCACCCCGAGCGCATCATTGGACATCCAAGAAAACCCGCGACGAACAGCGCAGTGCGAAATAACCACAGGCACCAGGTGAATGAATAGCATCTGCTCCGAGTCCATCAAGCAACTTCCTATTATGGTAACCAATAGCAGTGGTGGGAAGATCGAGTGGTGAGGTAGAAATGACGGCAGTCTCTGCCGTGATGTTGCGGAATGAGCTTGAGGTATGCAAGGTCGGCGTAGCTGTATAGCGTACGTAGAGCGACAGGGGTGGATATTGAGCTTCATGTTTCCTTGCCGCTCCCTGCGCGACTGCATGAAAAATCAAGCCAGCATGATGTGGCAGCGTGCTGCGTGAGACGGATCCAACTCTGCGCGAGCACCGCATTCGGTTTCTTCCATCCAGTAGTTGGTATATATAGTCAGTTCATCCGATGTGATGAATATATGCGGTGCGGCGTCCAGAAAGACGATAAAACTGCCTTATTTGGTGTCTCAGGATAGCCCAGCGCGAGGTCAATCCATGTTGAACCACGTCTCGGGTGACGGGACTCGGAGACGAGTGCCTCGCCTGCGAGAGGGATTGTTACTGAAGCGCAGCATCAGGTCCACCTGGAGATACAGAGCTGCTGCTTTCAGAGTGGTGGCTGCGCCCCTTCACCATACTACTCGCACCGCCTAGAACGATATCCAGTTCCAGCAGTGTCGCCGTCGAATTCAACCGAACCAGCCCTTCTACACAGCCACCGAAGTCCCTTAACTACGACGAGAATGACCAGTTGCTTGGTCGTCTATCGATGGCATCGAAACGGCCTGGCCGCATGAAAATGGGGGGGCGGGGGGAGGGGGGCGCGACGCCGAATCAACAACGGCTGAGGCATCGGGCGTCGGAGAACAAAATGAAGGTCGCTGCCAGCGATAAGCGCCAAATTGACGGGAGAGCGTCGAGGATGATTGAGGCCCCAAGTTGGGATACGGCAGGAATCGACTCAGCAGCAGCATTGAGCAAAAGACCCAAACTTCCTCGGTGGAATCTGACGAATAGCGAGATGTGACCGCGAGTCTTTGCGCGCGGGCGTCATGCCAACAAAGCAGCGGCTCCAGAGAGGGGCTCATGGAAACCGAACCGATAGTTAGGTTGAATGCAAGTCATGTATCTGTCTTCGAAGAATACGTACTGCGGATATGCTGACGAGTTTGCTGCGTCTGGTCATGTGCGATCCCCTTCAAACGCGACCGAGCCAGTAGCTGCTGATGGATACTGTCCAGTGCGTGTGCATTGAGGTTGTAGCCGTCCCTGAGTCTGCAATCCCAGTGCGCCGCTGCTACGAGTGAAAGAATAGCCTGATGAGACATCCAATGGGCCTAACGGATCTAGATATGCCGATGTTAGGCACGTTTGCTCCGTCTTGCACGTCCGAGCCGGCACAGGCCTATTCCCATAAGGCAGGACCACAACTAAGGACGGGCATAGTGACAAGTGTGGACGAACCTAGGACGGCCAGTGTAGGTCAGGTGACGTCACAAACGCTTTTTGGCCGAAGTTCGCGTTTTTACAGTATACTACTTATACACACCAGCACGTAACATTTTCCTACTTAAATCTACGATCAAGGGAATGACGGCTCAGCATGGTAATACAGAATTTTGACGAAGGGGCTGCAGCATCGCATTCAAAGCCTTGACGTCCCGCTCTCCCCGGGGAGTGCATTCGTGAGACGCATAATACCGTCCCAACGAGCGTCCGTCGTCCACCCTATCGTCTTGTCTTCCTTCAAGGTGTATACACGCTTCAGATCGATGAATTCGGAGGACGCGTTGTCTTCTTCCAAAATCCGGACCTGCTCCGCGATGCCGTCCAACCATGCCTTTGCGACGTCTGCTTGTGAACCCTTCAACGATGGCAGACGGAGCGCCCATAAGGATCGGTCCGTGCCATGAGTAACGTACCCTATTTTTGGGCACATTTCAGTGGATCAATTGTAGGACAGCCGCCAGGCACGCACCAAACGGTCGTAGCTGCTCCGGAGTCCATCGAATCTCGTAACGCAAAACGGGAAAACCGGACTTCGCCAAATCTCTGTGGAGCAACCGTACGGGCAGATGCACCTGGCCTTCGCTCAACATCTCCCCGAACAGCTTCTGCAACTCTTCGACGTCCGTCCCTTCGTGAGGAGGCCATTTGTCGTACAGCGCGAGCAGCTTGTGCACCAGATCCGCCGGGTAGTACCTTTCCAGGTTCGTGTGTATATCCGCAGGGGTATGAATGGGATGCGCGATGGAGTAGAGGTACCATTCTTCCGTCAGATCGCCGACGACGATGCTACGAACGCCCTTTGCCCTCAAAGCTCGAGCGAAGTCACCGCTCCGCTGCCATGTCATTGAGTCTGGGCTGACAGGGAGCCAACCACCGTCAAGGGCACCTCGGAACGTGCCATGAACACCTAGGTTTTCGATAGCGTGAGCAATCGACGCCCAGGGCACTCGTCTAGCGTCGCGGAGAACTGATAAGACGCCCGACGCGTCCGGATCAAGACCCAAGGCAGAGCAGAGCGCGCGGAATTGCGGCCTGAGCTCCCGAAGCGATTTCGGCGTGTTGCTGCGAGCAGCGGAGATGAGACCAACAATCGTTCGATGGATAAAGCGGGGCTTACACTATACCGTTCGACTGCAAGATCGCGGAATGGATAGGGGAGGGTACGCCCTCAGGAAGATGGGATATGTGGTGTAGGATCTGATGGACGGAATGTGCACCTGGTCGTACATCAGCATACACGCGATGTTAAAAAGCACAGTCTGATTACCAGCTGATAGCCCTGAGAGCTGAATATCATTTGGGTTGCCTGTAGATATTCATTAGTCGCTGGCGAGACGTTCAAGACCATTGACGATGTATACACTCACCTCCGAACGAAGCAATGTTATCTTTGACCCAAAGTAAACCCAGCCATTGGTCTTTGAACCCGTAGTTTCCATCCACTTTAGGCTCATCACTAGCGAGGAACCCGAATGCAGAAAGCCTATAGCCAATATTCACCCAGATTTCTGAACGTGTTTCAGTAATGTACTGAGCCTGCGCGCTGAGGCCGTGCGGAGAACCGAATTGCAGGAAACTGATGGAATACGGTCAGCAAACGAAACGCAAGCGCCCGATAAGAGGTATGCATACCCTCCGTGGATGTAGACTTTCACCGGAAAGCCCGTTTTCTCGGGGAATGATGATGGGACGACGACATTCACGAACAGCCTGATAATGATGTCCAGGTGCGGCCCTGCCATATGCAGGAATTTACTTGCGGATTCTCTGTGGGCTTTCCAAGCCCGACTTTATCCTCATACGGCACTCCTACAAGCAGGATAATGTCAGAGACGTATGCCGCGTGATATATGAAGGATCGCACCAGCTGCTTGACCGTCATTCTTCGGTTGAGCACCATCTTATGGGGTCCATCAGACTTATCATCGGGCCAGGTTCCATAAAACCCTTACATGCGCTTTCAAGGAGGTATTCTTTATCCTCGTACTTGTAGTCCGGGGGAAGCGGGACCGGATCACTGAACCTCTCCGGAGGTAAAGCAAACGGGATCTCTAAGCCAGGTAAGCAAGATCTAGCACAGCAGACCATCGTGAACACGTACCGAGAAATACAGCCGGCCCCCCGTTGGCGCGACCGCCTGTAACAGGACCGTATCGCGTCTGCACTGTTACTCGCGCGGGGTTCTTCGCAAGCTCATCCTGAAGATGAGATCGAGGGCCCGTCATGGCGGTTTATCGCTTATCTTCAGAGTCGCAAGGCACCGAGATAGAATCAAATGCGCTGCTGCACGTCCAAGTTAGAATAAACAGAGGGCACGGCGCGCAAGGCGAATAGTGCTGTGTCGTAGAGGTCGACTGTCCAGACTCCAGGGGGGGCTCAGAATAGGTTCCTAGAGTACAAGGTCCATGCGCCGGCGGACATGCTACTTGCGATAGTGGGATATCTTGTTCTCATTCTCCGTTCACATGGCGAGAGTATGGGAGAAGCCATTGCCGTTGGCCCGTTCAGCGCCAACTCACGTGAACGAATGAGAACCACGACACGGCAAGAATGCCGACTGCGTACTTGCAGTTGCTTCCAGTCATTCTTAGGATGGTAACAATAGCATGAGACAACGCGTTGCAGTGATGAAGCCGTCATGAATCAACTGGTAGCATAAATTAGGCAGAGCAGAGTACATGTCACTACCGCTGCGACGCGTCGTCCGGCTGCGGCGGTTTCTTGGCCTTGTGAGCATCGGAGAACGCTTGCATGCATTTACCCATCCATGTGAGTTGATCGGCCTCGTTCTCCAAGGTGATATAGAGCGGGGAGTGCGTTGCTAGCTGATGTGCGGTTTGTCGCTTTGCGAGGAGGGCTTTCTTCATCTGTTGCTCCTTAAGGTAGTATGTCTTGATCGTTTCCTCCCTTTCCTTTATGGCGTTCTCGACTTCTTGTAGGTGTGCCTCTGCCTCCACAAGTTGCGCTAGCTCGCATAGCTCCTTCTTTGGCATACGGAGATTTTTGAAGTACTCGAGTTGTTGGATGCGGGAGTGCGCCTTCGCTAGCTGCTCCTGTAGAAATATAGCTTGGCTGACGAGTGAAGCCCTTTGATATTCGGGTGGTGCTTCTGATCCCGACACGGATTCGGCGGTGAAATCTGGAGGCGACGGTCAGATCTGCAGCTATGTATTGATGAATCGTTGTGTTCACCATCCACTCTCTGATTGCCATCGCGACTGAGTTCCCGACGATGGTCATGGAGGCTCGAGTGTTTTGTACGAGGGTGTTCTTCGGAACTTCTTCGTGCCTTGCGATCCGTCCGATTGCCCGAGTCGCGCGGGGGAGTCTTTGCCTGTGGCGGCGGAGAGATGCCTGCATCGCGTAGAAGTTCGGAAGACCCTGCGCAGTCCGCGTCGTCGGTTGTAAGATTGAGGTACTGAATGTAGACCCGTGATCCATTCCCTTGATGACGGACCACGTCGGCCTGCCTGACCGCCTGAGGATCATGAGGGCGGGGCTTTCGTCGAACTTCAAAATAGGGGCGCGTTCGATATTGGGAGCGGTTGTTCTCATCTTCGAAAGACACTGTAAAATCGTAAGCGACAACACCTAGTAGGGGACGAAGACGCGCACTCGCGGCGAGGGACTATGAGGCTAATATGAGGGTGTTTATCGGGGATGTCCTGTGCAGAAATAGAGAGTGATTCTCCCCATTATTTGCCACATTTTATAGGTCGTCGAGGGGGTCGAGCGGAAGAGGGCGAAAGCTGGCGGAAGGCGGATGTAGCGGAGCAAGTCCCGATTTGGCAATCCGAGGCGGCATCGGCACACACGTGAGCCGGGGGAACGCGTCGGCCATTCAGTGCTGACATATTTTACGGCTCTCCGTCCGCTCTCCTTCCTGTTCTTCTGTCCTCTCCATTCACCATGCCTGTAAGTTATGCGCTTGCTGCTTCGCAGCTTTGTGTTAATGTTGTTCTCTCTAGCGTCAATCCCGCTCCCGCGCTGCACCCGCACCCTCCCGGTCCGCTCCTGCGCAGACTCGTAGCGCAACCACTGCCGCTGCCCCGTCTTCATATGGCCAGCACCCGACTCCCCATGCACCGGCACCCCCCGCGGCGGCTCACCAGCCTGCGACTCAATCTAAGGAGCCGGGTATGCTCGCGCAGATGGCTGCTACCGCAGGTTCCGTCGCGGTAGGGTCTACCATCGGCCACGGCATCTCCAGCCTTCTGTTCGGTGGCAGCTCGGCGCGTAACCCCGACCCTGCCGACACACCTCTGGCGCAACAGGCCGCTGCTACCCCTGTCAACCACCAACAGACTGCCGGCGTGAGCTGCGAGGCGCAGGCGAAGGGTTCGTACGGCTTCTGTCTTCGATGACCGTTAGCTCATGCAGATCTTTTCATAGAGTTCACGAAGTGCCTGGAGAAGGCTGACCTCCCCTCTTGCACCTGGTACTTGGAGCAGCTCAAGGCTGTCAGTCCTCCGTCTTTCGAACACTGTTCGCCCAAACTGACTTGTGCTTTCGTAGTGCCAGGCCGCTGCTGCACCGTATTAGGTAGTCAAAAGGGATGGTGTACTCGTGTTTTCTCGTAGATGTTCTTGGTATTCAAGTTTTATCTGCTTCGTGTTACTGCTTCATGGCCTCCATTCAGACATGAGACCCAATGAGGTTTAGCTTATTTCGTGACGTCTGGAGTGTGTGATCCGAAAGTTTCGAAGGCATGAGGTCCCAAAGCTTGCGCCACCACAGACATGACGTTCTCATATTAATAATATCGAGCCTTCTTCATCGAGTCCTGCAGTTCCAGGGATTTGATGCACTCCGCTAGCGCCGTTGGTTTGCGCATTTCCTCTACGGTTGGGTAGTCATTTCCCGGGATATAGCCGCCTCGTGTTTTGAACTGCCTGACCAGTGCCCCCTAAGCTTCACGAGTTTCTGCTTTGCTTTCCCCCCTCTCCACGTCTCCGCATCCAAATAACTGGGCTGGGGAACTGAAACCACTGTCCCCGACGTTCTGTTGAATAAGGAGCAAGGACTAGCTTGAAAGAAGAGCTGTGGGCATCTCCCGCGATGAAGTTTGCAAGGTATGTGATGCGAATGGTTGTCCGGCACGGCCATACTCGTGGTACTGACTGTGTACCATATAACTCAGATATCTGGAAGAAACACAGACGCCTGAATGGAAGAAAGCGTATATGTGTGTATCCTTCATTGCCCGTCATCGTGGCGCTGGCTGCATCTGCTCATACTCACTCCTCCAGCGACTACCGCGGTCTCAAGAAACGCATCACTGCTATTCGTCGTGAACAAGAAGGATCTGAAGGCCAAGGTAGCTCTGGAGAAGACCCATTGCTGTCTCACAACCCCTCTCGAGCTCCAAGCCCATCAACAAGACGCACATCTACCTCGGATCGTCCACGGCCGTCCTTGGGCTCACAAGCAACCAGTGACCTCGCCGGGCCTTCCAAGTCCAACCTTAGACGCAGTCGTAGCTTCAGCTCCGACGAAGAGGAAAACAGACAGCCTTCTGGAGAGTTCAAAGCTTCAGGTTCAGTTTTGTCCGTCGACGATGATGATGAACGAGCGACCGCAGGTCCTGACGCCTCTACCTCCCTCCGCTCCCCACCAATCGACCGCGTTGTCGAAACAGACACGGCTGGGGATGGCGGGCCGTACGCGCCAAACACGCAGGGCATGCCCATACTTGCGGAGATAGCGACCGGCCATCAATCACAAGCCGTGGATCCTCAGGCTGGTGCATATGCAAACGAGGATGTAAGCGCCCCGCGCCAGAGTGTTGAGAGCCTCGCGTCCCGCCTCCGAAGGTCGTTGACTTCGCCTGTGCTTGTCTCTTCCCCCTCCGATCTTCCGTCTGCTCCACTCGGTGATAGATCTCGGCAGCGAGGTCGTAGTGGGACTCTAATGAGCATTGCTCAGAGTTTCGCGGGTCTGCGTCAGCGACATCATACCAGCGCCATCAGCCCCTCGACCACCTCTAAAGCAGGTACGTGGTAGCATGGGTGGATGCACGATGGAGTCGAGGTGGATTTTGACTTGCCATATAGGTGACAATCCTCCGCAGCCTGGAACACTGGCTCGCCACGGTTCATGGTTCTCCTCGCGGACTGGTCACAGGGGTCATACATTTCAAATGCGCGATAATCGTGAGCATTATTGACTTCCTTTCATGAGGGCTATCGTCGCCCTGACTCTCCTGATCATGTCAGCCCCCATGATCACACTTAACGACATACTATCGAAGCTCACTCCGACGCAGAAGAAGTTTTTCGAGAAACTGGATGCGGAACTGAACAAAGTTGAGAGGTAAGCAGCCGATGCTCATTCTGAGGTTATCTGATATGCCCATGCCGTACAAGCTTCTATTTGGATCGCGAGAAGGAGTACATGGGCCGAAGCACTATGTTGAAGGAACAGCTGCAAGAGTTGAAGGACCATCGGCGACTCTTCTATGTAGGCATCCATTGACCGTTCTTGTGGGTCACATTTGATGCTTTCACAGGAAGCACATCCTATCGATAACCGTCCATGGACCGAACGGCTTGTACCATTAGTCTCCGTCGCGTCGCGGGTCAAATCAGCGCCGGCCGCAACCGGACGAAGCCTACGTGATTCAGCCGGGCGGGCTGTGCGGGCTCGTAAGGCGCGCATGAAAGCCAAGAGACCGAGTTCCAGCTCCGAAGGGAGCCCAGCAAGTCCCCCGGAGCTTACCGATGGAGATCGCGCTGAGGAGCAAGAGGGCGACGGAACCGGATCACAGTCGACCAGCCGGCTAGGCGATACCCTCAAGACCACAGTGCAAGACATCGCAGATGTCAAAGCGTCATTCAAGAGGCATTCAGCTCTGAGCAAGAAGCCCAAGTATGATCCTGATTACTACAAGGAAGCCCAGAAGAAGTTAAAAAAAGCTGTACTTGAGCACTACCGGTAAGTCCTCTCTTCAGCTCTCGTTAATGCATATGACTCACAGTGCATGTGATACAGTGCACTTGAGATGTTGAACGACTACCGGGTAAGCTCCTAGATATATTTATTAGATGGATATATGCTAATTACATTATACAGATCCTCAATCTCACCGGATTCCGGAAGGCGTTAAAGAAATTCGAGAAAGTATCCCGAATACGAGCACAAGATGTGTATCTAAAGGAGAAGGTGAGGCGCTAGTTCACTACTTCGCTGCTCAGCTCTGAAACAGCAAGTGTGTAGGTAGACCCCAGCGCTTTTGCCTCTGGAGATGCGATCACTGCCATGATGAAGGAGATGGAGGATCTTTTCGCAGCTCGCTTCGGTGCGTATGGTATTCAGCCTGCCGTCACATGATACTGAATATCATATTACCTTTCGTAGCTCGCGGCGACAAGAAGAAAGCAATGAATAGGCTTCGTGGCGCCGGCTGGAGAACAAACAAGACTCACCACTTCAGCACTTGGCGTTCCGGATTCATGCTCGGGTTGGCAGTTCACGCACTTGTATCTGGGATATACCAAAGTAAGACTGCTCATCACGTCGCTGGCTGGCATAATCCGATGTATTTGTGCATCAGGCTATCAGTCGGATACCCGGGCCGCTATACCCGCGTGGCCAGCCCTTCTGTACACCTATGGAACGCTTCTGCTGCCTACTGTCTTCGTCTGCATGGTGGCGCTTAATGTTGCAGCATGGGCAAACTCGAGAATCAACTACGTTTTCATCTTCGGTAATCCTGTATTCCCATTCCTCCTCCTAACGACATGGACTAATGTGTCTTTCAGAGCTGGACGTTCGCACAAAGATGGATCATCGCGAGGTCTTCGAGGTACAATATCTATCAGTTGTCCGTCATGGTTGATCGCTGACGGCAGGTCAGCTGCCTTGTTTTTTCCTTGCCACTCTATGTTACGCATTCTGGCTCTCATTCGCTAGGATTGGCGAGCATACTGTGAACCCCACCACTTGGCCCGCGCTTTGGCTCCTTCTCGTCGCGGTCTTGACATTCAACCCTTTACCACTCTTCGGCAGAAGTGCTCGTTGGTGGTTCCTCAGAATCATGGGCCACCTCTTAGCTCCCGGGACAAAGAGAGTCGAGGTATGTAACGAAATCGAAGCACAGGGATAATGCTTACTGAAAACGGCTAGTTCTCTGATTTCTGGATGGGGTAAGTGCTCGTATGATGACATTTTCTTCGCTATGGATTACTGATTCGATCACAGTGACCAGTTTTGCAGTCTGTCCTTTAGCTTGGCCAATCTATATTTCATCGGCTGTTGGTATCATCGCGGATGGGGCCCAGAATGGAGAACTTGTATGGCGTACAAAACGACTGCATCTTGGGTTGTCCCAATGATGTTAGCATCGCTTCCTCTTCTGTCACGTCTGATACAGAGTATCAAACGATGGGTCGACTCTCGGCTCTTAACCCATCTTATCAACGTGCGTCTCTCGCCTTTCTTAGACTTACTTCCTATTGACACCATACTTGCAGGCAGGCAAGTATGGTGCCGGTATAGTCGCATTTGGATGCTACTACAATTGGAGGCACCACGGTAGGTTGATATCCCTGGCCGTTGCGCGAAGCGCTAATGGTCCGATCATCAGGGACCGTGCACGATGGAAGTTTTGGGGTATATATATCATTCATGACAGTCAACGCTCTTTACGCTGGTTCATGGGTGAGCAAAGAACTTGATTCATGACACCTTGTCTTGACCATGGGTTCAGGATCTCTTGATGGATTGGTCATTGTTACGACCTCATACACGGTATCGCTTCCTGAGGCCCGAGCTATTGTGGCCCCATCGGATACCGGTTTGTAGAGTTCGTTGTCCTAAAAGTACAGATGCTGATCAGTCATTACCAGTTTTATTACCTTGCTATAGTAAGAGAATCGCAGCGAATGTTGTACAACTGCTGATTGCTTCCAGGTTACCAATATTCTAGGTCGGTTTATATGGTAGGTGGCTCATCCAAGACCACGACCGCACATGGGCTCTGACATGATGCCATCTCCCTAGGCTTTTCTACCTCTCGTCCGACGGCCCGAACTTCATGCTGCGGACCTTCATTGCGGCAATCGTGGAGATTTTCCGTCGATGGCAATGGAACTTCTGTATGCTTGAAGGCCCTCCCGTCTAGCCACAACTAACACTGTCATCACCAGATCGGCTGGAGAACGAACACCTTGGCAACATGGATCAATATCGAGTCACTAGAGAAGTTCCGCTGCCGTACCGCATCGAAGACATGGGTCACGAATCAGATGGAGACGAGGATGACGAAAAGACGCGCAGGATGTGGCGGAGGCGCTCACGGTCGATGAACCGTTCTGCTGTCGTCAACGACGAGGCGTGATGCAGACGTTGATCATGGCCTCTTCCTTTTATGCATATCCTAGCTCCTCTCGATCTCTCACTCACTAAACCCGCCCTTCTCGCTCGCTGAACATGGGCGATTCGCGCCAGTTTAACGTTATGTGGCCTCTGCTTTGACTTCTCTGATTCTCTTGTTTTCCTGCTGTGCAGGGATGTCTGTACCATCCAGCCATGGTGGTGCCTCGGAACTACCATATCATAGTAGACTATACCTAGTATCATATTATACCATAACACTTTCCCATGCTATTCATTGTGATCCTGTGCGGCACATATATCCGACAATCCAGGATCAAGGCGCCGAGGTAAGGAAACGAGCAATTCGGAAGTATAAAACAGGACTACTTCATGGAATTGGCGATCGCATCCAATTCTCGCGATATTACGGAGTTCGGAGCACTCTTGCGCAGTTGTCTATGCACATGGACCGGCTGGTCAGAATATATGCACCAGATCGCGACGTCGAACAATACGCACTCCAGTTTCAGTTTATCATTGCGCTCCTTGCACTCCTTGCCAGCTGCACGCCAATCTCCGCATTCGATATATAAATCTACGCGTTTGTTGGATTCGCAACGCGCGACGTAAGTAGCTGCTTCCCTTGGGTGACCTTTCTCCAATAGATGCCGGACGAACGGTTCGTATCCGATAGGACTCCGCTTTGACTTGGCAAACGTCTCCAAACCATCCCAGTCGCTTAGGGCTGTCAACGCCTGCAGCTTGACATACCAGAATCTGTACATCCGTCATTGGCATACTGCACGGGCTGACCTGAGACAACGCTTACCGCTTGTCAGGCACCTTGAAGTCGGACTTGAGCTTGTCAGCTTTCTTCGGATAACCGTTGAGCAGGCATGCTCTGATGGTTTCGTTCACGCTCGTCCCGAACGCAGCAATTTTGCCATCGGACTCCTTCTCCAGTTGTTGCTGCGCAGCGAGCAAACGCACATTTTCATCCATCATCTGTGAACTGATGAATTCACACTCAGGGCACATGTTTGTAAGTGCACCGCACCTTCGCCTCAAAGGACCGATCCTTATCCTCCGAGAAGAATTTCTGGGCAGCTTTGATGCACGAGATCTTTGCAAATGGATCCTATCGTCCTGATGTTTGTTATAGATTCTCAGCAGTGCATGCGCGGAAACTTACGGATACGGCAGCTGCCTCCTCAAGGGAGAGGACGGCACTCTCCACACGACGATCATCGGAATAGTAGAAATCCCGCAACATCTCCCGATTCTGTTGGCGCGCGTAGACCTGCAACAATTTGTTGGCCGGTGCGAGTCGTTCTCCGCCATCCTCGATTAGTCGGAAGAACGACCCGAGCGGCAATCGCTTGTGTAGATGCAGCAAGACATGATAAACTGGAGGTTAACAAAGCCCTTGAGCGAACCCATGAGATCGATAATGAGCAGGTCATACCTAAGTCGGTGTCGCCACTGTCAACGGCTTTTGCCAGCGCGAGTCGATCTTCCTTCATGCTGAGCAGTAGCGGAACTTGATCCGACGCTCTCGGTTCATAGTCAAGGAGCTACCCATGAGTTTGAATGTCGATAGTCTGAGTGGACAAACAATAGGGAATTACCTTCGTCGCAAGGCCAGCACGGCCTACCTCCCAAGCTCGTTTGGCGATTTCGGCGTAGTTCGCGGATCCACCACCAAGCTCACGGAATTTCTTGACGATCAACGCACAAACCTCATCATCGGTCGTTCCACCCTCAGTGTCTCCTGCTGAAGGTTTGGCACGGGCAATCTTAGCGCATGCCCAGTGACGCAAGACCGTGTCGGGCTTCAGTGAGAGGTAATTGGATATCCGCAACGCGAGAAGGTGAAGGTTGCGAGCCGTCAGGCGTGAAATCAAATGAGATGGAGAAGCAAGAGTATATCTGATGACCATGAGCCATGAGGAATGCTTGTAGTTAGGATTAACGACCCACTCGGCGTAAGTGATAGGGATGCCGATTTCATGGAACCTGACGGCGTTTAGGACTTTCAGAGTCTGACCCATGTTCACGAAGTCGGTCGGATCATAGAGATCGAGGAAACCTCGCCCAAACTTGGCTGCCTGTCTATGTCAGTAAGGAAAAGTCGAGTCCTGATCATACTAACGGTATGACTTACACTCAACAGCTTCCGTTGCCATTGGGGCTCCCATTCGCGACCAGCGGCATCAATGCAATCATTAACGGCGGCGGCAAGCTCCGGTCTGATACTTCGGATGCTGTCGTCCGCTTTGGGTGACCGACGGGCGAAGCTCTCCCAAGCATCGTACAGTATGGCAGCAGGCGAGGTTGACCCAGGTCGGAAGATAGACAGGGTAGATGCTGGGGTTCAATGTCAGAGCGCAAAACGGCACGGTGAGATGTCCCTTACAAGGAACCTTCTCCACGAAGTCGCAGGAGTCAGGGCCTATGATGCGAACACCATCCGGTTCAGTAATGGCGAATGTTGGTCCAGAGTAGTAGTAACTGCCAAGTGAAGGTCAGATAGCTAGTCTCCAATGCCATGTCGTCGACACTGACCGTAGTGTGTCGCCAAACGGCCCCACAAGGACAGCCATGACATCCCACGTAACCAGTATCGCATCGTTACCACACCATTCTACTTGTCTAACATCGTTCGCCGAGCTAACGGTGTTCACATCGAATTCTGCCAGATTACGTTGGAGGTCGCTGGAGACTACCCAAAGGGTGCCTGAGGATGTAAGGAGGGCAAGGGATTTCCCATTCGGCGATGGCGCGATATGCGAGAACGGACCGCGTCCAAGGCGCTGATCGGTGCTGGACAAAGTGTCTACGGAGATGATGGTGGTGTCCACAGAGAGAAGAACTTCGGCATATCGAGATATGGCGAGGTCGGGAGGTATAACAGACCAGGTATGAGGCGGCTGAGAAAGACCTGGGGGTGATGTGAGGTGTTGTTAGGAGCTAGGCCGTCGTTGTAGCTGACCTGGATTGGCGAGACTCAAAGGCTTTGCCCCTTCCCAGCCCTTGACCTCCATAAAGGTCAGTGACCCCGTCATAGCGACCATGCCACCTTCATATATCCGAGCGTCGACGATACCCGCGTCTGCAGCCTCTGATCCCAAGGAAAACTGAGTGAATGCGCCTTGAAGGTCGTATATCCGGTAAACTCCTTCGTCGTTGAGCACGACAAGTCTTTCATCCTGAGCCCACCCAAAGCGAACAATCTTGGCTTGATCCCACTGTTGGTATCGAGTCAGAAAGCCATTTATATCAAAGAGCAGGATATGATCCACACTGAAGATTGCCAGACCCTCTCCTGCCGGAGAATACACTTGGATCTGTCCCCTGGCATAAATCGTGGCTGAGTTGCTCAACTGTATCACTTTCGATGTATCGCGTAGTAGTGCTGAACGTAATTTGTGTCATCTGACTGATACACGCAAGAGAAGGCTCAAGGTATTCACCAAGAGGGCCGCCATACCGACAACCGGCCACAATATGATCGCTCAGGTTGGGCAGCTGTCTTGCGATGGAGTAAACCTCCTGTCGCCTATAGAAGACTTTGCCATCCTGCATGGCCTCCCATGTTGTGGTTGGATGATCTGCCATGATCCCAAGCAGTCACTAGTAACGGCACGGCCAGGATCTGTGTTGCACCGCTCAAATTCGGACTGAGAGCGCGCGAGACTGGGAGCGGCGAACACGGCATTGATTCACGTGATCGCTCCGGGTGAACGGAGCGGTAGCCGTAGATGCCGCCTTCATCTGGGTAGGTAGGTAGGATCATCGGTGATCATGAAGGTGTGGCATCGCAGGTGGTTCTGACTCACCACACGTTTTCACCTAGGTTCCCTCCTACCCATCGAATTCAAAAGTATGGTGCAGTGAGCAGCATGAACTCCAACAAACTGGATACGGTACGGTCTGAACGTGACACACGCGATGCGCACGACCACCTCGTCCGTCCACGCAACCAGCGCGGTGACCATCTATTCCAGCAGGTTGCCATATTGCAGCATGTGAGGAATGGAGGAACATGGCAGAGGCGGAGAGAGAAGCAACCCAGCGACCGAATTTGCTTTCACCAACTTACTCCGCCTTGTCTAGGGGCGCTTCGAGTAACGGAGCGAATATCAACTATCTCCTGTAGTACAAATATGTGTGTAGCACAAGCGACGCTCATGCCTGACACACTACCATACAATGTGGAGGGCCGCATCTCGCTGTCAAACCAACTGAACATGCCGCTGTCTGGGTGGGTTCCGACCAACATCAAGCACTTACAACCTTGTCCTCCTTACGCACTAGGCAACGAGCGGATCATAGATGCTACCTGCGGTGAGCGCGGTTCAATCCTACATCCGAAAGGTTTGGGATAGCTATATGGTACACGTCCGAAATCAGTATCCCTATACATCGTCATTGGCAGAGAAAAGAATGCATACCTCAGGAAACCGGTTGTGTACTCGTCCGAGGGCTCATGATTATTTCCATCCTTGTCGACAGACTTCTCAATTTTAAAACAAGCCAATGCAACTGCCATGAAAATGTAGAGCGAGTCTAAAGCGAAGAATCTTCCAGGACACATCCGTCTAAAACGCCTGATTAATACATCAAGACGCCCACACACATGGTAGATCAGAGCACCTGCCCCAGCCGAATGCCGCATCAGGATCTGGGTTGGGAGATGGTCCCATGAAACGGTCTGGGTTGAATGAGAACGGGTCCGGATATATCGTCTCGTCGTGCAATATAGCCCTGTCGATCCCTTAAATATCCGTAACACGGTTGATGTCCCGGAATCTCACCAGTTGTTCGCACTAACAATAGACCCTTTGGGGATGCGATAACCGAAGGCAACGTCGTCCTCGACGACGCGATGAGGGACGCCTGTGAGGATGCGTCAAGACTTGATTCTGTACCTGGGTACGACTACGTACCTAACGGGACAGCAGGGTTCCAACGCAAGCATTCTTTGACGATCGCACGCAGGTAGGGTATTTCATCGGAGAAGTCAGGAAGCCGATCCTCCTTCACTACGGCGCAAATATCCTCGTACGCCCTTTCTTGAATTGCGGGAAACAGCGTCATGGCAAGGTAGAATGAACACAGTGTTGACAAGCTCTGAATATCGCAATGAGTACAATCTGTGACGAAGGATGCGTTCACCAGAAATCTTCACCGTGTCAGCCCCTGCCCCGTACAAGACAGCGGTGCTACATTTCAGCGTCATTTCTGTCTCTTCTCGGTCCTGTCTCTCTTGCGCATCGTCCATATCTGAATATAACTGCTGTGTTATGCATTCGTCTGCAGTGCCCTGTTTCTCGGCATCAAGCAAGTTCAATGGTCCACGTGTCACGATGCGCACTTGCATCTTCACATATTCAACCGGCTCGTGGAGTAGCCTCTGGCCATCCTCGTACCAATGATGCGCCTTACGCTTAAAACCTGCTCCGGGGAACCATGACGGAACAAAACGGACTAGTGGCAAGTAATTGGATGTCATCAGCAGAGATATTGTAACCAATGGGCAAACCTACGCAGGGGAAGCGCATCCACTAGATACTGGCCCGTATTGAGGGACTCGTTCGCATATCTATTGATCAGCTCCGCAAGTTCAATCCACCTGTCGCCCTTCGATTCTACACGAATGCTGTATGTCACATCGAGAATATTCGCTCCAATCGCGCTCGAAAGAGCATCATACAATGAGATGAATAGTGGCACAGAAAGACACAGGTCACGTACGTGCGGCTTCTGTCCCAGAAGTCACCCGGATCGTCGAGTAGTGACTGCACAAGGGCGTGGGAAGCTTGCTCCTGTTTTCGGCGCCATTGTTTGGTCTTCTCCGCGCCGAGAGTGTGGTGAATTTGGGCTCTGCACGCCTTCCATCGTGGATTGCAAGGCATCAATGCTACGTTCCAATTGGCCCAGCCTGCACTACACATCATGTGAATCAATGGTCTTCGACACCGCGTAGATATCAACATACAGCTCTCCGATCATCATCAACACCGGCCTACGGATTTATGATTCATCACGAGCGCCGAATAAAATCCTGAGTACGAACCGGTCCGAGTAAATTGCAGACTTCTTCACGAACAACTCCGAAGCAGCGCGTGCAGTATTAACTACAATGAAATTGGTGTTGAGTGCCCTCAAGTAGATGAGGTCGGAACCTAACGATTCGCAAATGATGAGCGAGTGAGTGACAAGCTGGGAAATCGAAACAACCGTATTCTTGACCCCATTCGCGGTATTTGACCCAAGGGAGCTCTTTGGGGACATCAAAGAGATTGTTGACAAGAGGTAGACCTGTCGGCCCCGGTGGTAGAGGAAGCGAATGTTTTCTGACGAGACGGAAGAGCAGCGCGGAAAAAATTAAGAGCACGGAAGCTGTAGCGATTGCCTTCACGCCGTTTTCCATTGTCAACGATCCAAGACCAGAACAGGTTATCGGTACAGCTCCGTACGATCCACATCTATCGAGGTCACTATATAGCTCGGAGATAAGTAGATTTCCGCCCACGAATATGGAGCTGATGAGCACGTTACATGGGAGCAACATCGATTCCTATTATCAAATTGGCTGACGTCCGTCCAATGAACCTATGTAAAGGCGGGGCGCGGGTAAAGGTTTGTCGTAAATAACTCGAGCTTGGGCCCATGGCATGTCTCGCCGCTGCTTCCCTGCCTCTTTTAGGACAGAAAGGTACACAAGGAAGAGCACCTGTGCATCCAGAAGGTACCTAATCAGTTGGCCTCCGCATTCACGGTTTCTTGTTTGATGGGCGAGGGAACCAGAAACACGCCAAACCCCAGTTGACGCACTGCAATGGACGGACTAGAACAGTACTCTTCACAGGCGTTTCGTAATTGGCTGGCTCACACATCATCTCCTGCATCGATCCATGCACCTGCGCCTATGTGTCTTGCATCGATGGAACAGGCCTCCACGATACGCACGCACGGAGGGGTGAGAGGGCTGCGGCAGGATCTGATGCGTCAAGGAAATAGCGAAACTGAAGTCGGTCACTCGTTTGGCTTCTTTGTATTTGCGCTTGAATTTTCTCTCCTTGGAGTCCGCATCCCGTTTCGGGTCCCTACGCCGACCTCGTTCGAACCTGATGCCCCGCTCTTTGTCGCAGCAATGCCGATGACCGCCACGTCCGTCGAAGTGGATGTGGACATGGGCATCGTATTCCATACCATACCATACCTCACGGTCAGAACGTTTGGCTTTCTGTTCGCGACGTGACCGCCGGTCACGTTTTTCGAGGTGCGTGCCAGTGCATTGTATGGACGATTGTCGGGGGTGTAGTGGCATGCTCGATCGTCAACCGGTACACATCAGGAAAAACCGGATTTGCTAAAAGCCTCCTAAAAGGTACTAAAACGTGCTTATTTAGTAGCTTTAGAGGGTTTCGGTACCCAATAAGCGACTCTTTCGATAGTCCGATTTTTCCTGATGCAAGGCCTCGGCTGCAGGATCACAACAGTTAGTTCAGACGTCATTACCAAAGGAACAAATCTTGCGGAAACTCACCAGCTTCGTTTAGGTGCTGGTCCCTTGAAACAACTCTTCCGTCTCTGCCGACGATGCACTCTACGTGGTAGGGAGTGAATGGAGGAGACACATTGGCGGTGGCGGCGGTGGCGGCGTCGGCGAAGATGTCAACTGGTGTGCGGATGCTTTCCTCGAAAGAAGGAGGAGGGCCGTAATCGCCGGATTCGGAGGCATGATTCAAGTTCGACTCGCAGGATGAGCCAACCCGCGAGCTCGAGGATGTCTTGGATACCTCGGAGACTTCGTCCAAGCGGATCATCTCGGAAACAAGCTGAAGAGCGCGACTATCCATAACGATATCTATGTGCTGCGCGATCATATGCTGCGAGGCCGAAGTGGTTCGTCAGCTCCCGGCAAGGTTCGTGGACTGTATCCTTCCCAGCGTCATGTTGGTCAAGCATGTCGGAAAAAGCTGGACTACGAGCGAGAGCTGCGCCGAAGTCATATTGGGTATGTTGAAGTAGAAAGATCGCAGCCAGAGAGAAGGCGAAGCCGACGCAGCATCGTGGTACTACTTTACATACCATGTAGAGTACAACAGTACAAACACTTCATGTCAGTTACATCAGACACGCAACGAAAGCTAGCACTAGTGAAGGCAAACAATTGGGACTCATGTAATCCTGATAGTTCATTGGTCGTCTCCATGTCCTACAAACCCAGGGGTTGAAGCACTACATATCCTCCTAGGTCCATCCCAGCCCTCATCGCCATCCCCTCCAACGGCATGGTCATCGGTACTTCGCTCTTCATTCTCCCAAGCACGCATGTCCGAATGGTTGGTTCCCAACTCCTGAACCATTCCCCCTCCTTCGCGCCCTCTTCTCCACTGCCTCCTTCCACAGTCGTAGTTCGCCTGAGCGACCATACGCCCCTCGCTACGTCCCAGCGCCCCGCCCACTCCTTCGCGCCTGGCCATCCAATCCACGCCAACATCCCGACAGACCACCAATAAGCGCCGCCCAACCACCGCGAACTGATACTGTCCTGCCTGACGACGACCATATTGGACGCTTCAGGGAGAGGGACGAAGGTAACGGAGACGTCGCCAGTGTAGCCGGTGGCTAGGATAGAGGCGTGCACGGCGGTCGTGAGTCCAGGGATGTTCCACCCTCTCAGAATCTATCGACATCGTACATCAGCGCCGTGCAAGCGGGAAGAGGGAAATAGTGTACCTTCTTATATACGAATTCCTTGACACCTTTGCTGCTATTGCAGTACTCCTCACACGCCTCTCTAAGCCTCCTTGCCCAAACCTCCTCTCCCGTTTTCGACCCCTCCGCTTCCCACCGTACGCCGTGCTCATTTTCCGGTTCACTCCCATGTGACGACACGCTCCCTCTACTGACTCGCCCGTTCTCATCAACGAGCTGGGTTTCGCGGGTCAGGTTACCGCGATAAGTGGCAACAGATCCGGGCAGGACGCGGTGCGAGAGCCGCTCGAGGATATGCGGCGAGATGGAGATGAGGAAGTTGAAGTCTGTAACATGCTTGGTTTGAACGTTGGGTTCGCTCTCAGTCTTGCGATCCTTGCCACGTTGGCGCCGCGAAGCTGCGGTTACATTCGCGTCTTCGCCAGTAGCAGAGTCGGAGGATGAGTCGTCGTCTACCCTTGAACGAGGTCGACGAGGACGCCGGCCCCCGCTGTCCTCCTGAACGCTCCCAAAGTGAAGATGCACGTGGGTAGAAACGCTCGGTTCGGGCTGTTCCACGATCTCGCGTGAGCTTGACGTGCTATGCTTCCAGTTCGGGCCGTCCGATTCGATGTAGGTCTCGGTATGCGTTCCCTTGCAACGGAACACGAAGGTCGGCGGCGTTGAGCCGTGTTGCACTATGAATCGGCGCAAGGCTTCGGCTACATGATTGTCGTAAGGTGATCAGAGCAAAGATTGGGCGCACGTAGGGCAGAAACGTACCATCCTGATTAAGATGTTGATCCGTGGACACGATCTTTCCATCCTTGTTCACCGTGTACTCGGCATGGTACGGGGCGGATGCAGGAGCGTTGGCGACGAGGTCGTCGTCCAAATCGATCAACAGGTGTTCAGACGCTCTCCGAACAGATTCCTCAAACGAAGGTGGTGGGCCAACTGCCGGAGCAGTACTGATGTGGTTGGCACGGGACGATCCCGATGGCCCAGCGGCGGACGAACTCGAGGATGAGGAGGGAGTCTTGGAGTCTTCATCCAGAAGAATCATGATGGTATGGGGAGAGATATCCTTGACGAGAGAGGTGGAAGGGCACAGTCATGGTTCTCCGCTTTTGAGGCGAATATGCTGCAGCGTTCGGATCGCTACGGGCGAGCTTATGCTGCGCGTCGCAGTACGTCGTTCACACCGGAACACGTAGGGACACGTAGGTGGTTCATCGTGTGGTTGCTGATAGCTGGGCAGCAGTCATGCGTTCGCAGACAAGACACCAGCATGCTCTTGGAGACACAGAAACTGGAGCGTAAATTCAAGGAGGACGTTCACGTTGATGGTCGAGGAGGAGAATGGCTGTGTTGGTGCTTGGCCTTCCGGAGTCCGACCGGCGACTACGACGTAAACAGCGCTCACCGTCCCACTACTGGCGCCCATCCGCCTCAAGGCGCAAGGCAATCGTTTGTGTGCATCTCCTCTAGAGACCCATCTGCTTCCACCTAAAACGCCGCGCGTTTCTCAAGCACGAGCAGCTTAATCGTCTGCAACGGAATTCATACGCCACAGGCTAGCAGCCCCTGGACCGCGACGTTCGGGCTGAGGCCATGCTTCGCATATGTCGCGCTGAAACCGGGGATGTATATGAAGTTCGTGTTCATACAGCTATATCAATGGAACTCTTCTCATGCTTGATACACTCCCCTCCTCAGACTAAGGCTGGTCTGCGAGACATCGAAAGGTACCTCTCTCCTGCTGCTCTTTACATGATCAAGAGCATCCTTAGGCTCACGAGTTCGTCTGTCCGGGCAGAGTGGGCAACCTCGAGCAATTCATCCAGGATGAAATCGGCGTGCACGAGGATGCCGTGCTAGTATATCTCTCCGATGGCACGCGCCTGAGGACGGATAATTTAGCAGAGCTCGCAGGAGCACAGGACCAGGTACGTAGTGTTTGCTAGATGTTCTAGAAGGTAAAATTGACCGATTGACATCTTATTTAACAGACCATCTTCGTTTTCAACAAGTTCTACATTGAATATGAATTGGACGACGTCCTACATGACCTCCGCGTTGAGCCGCCTTTGCAACCTCCAATTGAAGGTACTATCATTGCTATTGCAGTCTACACCCACTAAGCGCTCGCGGTTCGATAGAGGAACTCTCCACCACGCCCCCATATCGCCCCTCTGCTCTCTCCACCACCTACCTCCGCACGGCGCATACCCACCTCGCCGCCCTCCAAGCGCTGGTCAACTCCTTACACGTGCAACACCAGTCGCTCTTACTTTCCTCGCGCGCCCTCGATCTGCACGTCCTCAATACCTCCGACACCTTCGACGCCCTCTCCGCAACGCTCATGCCCCTACTCTCCCAGCAACAGAAGCTCTTGCAAGGGGTGGACGGAGACCTGGGCCTCGTTGCGCGGGTACAGGTGCACCCCGAGTTCCTAAGCGCGAACGTTAGGAGAGCGATCGAGCACGGTGAAATTGCGAAGATGCGGACCTTGGGCGATTATGTGAGCGACGCGAAGATGAGGCAGGTCGCGGAGACGTGTCGGAAGACCAATGGTGAGGCTCTTTACCTTCTCCCTTGGACTGAGCCTGAATTGACATGACCTTGTTCACAGGAGACTTGCAAGCGAAGTTCAGGCAAGCGCAGCAGGCTATGGCCCAGCTGTCCGAAGGCACCGACGAAGTTAGGGACATTGTCTCAAATGCCAGGTCAGTCGGCGCTTCTTGAGACGTGCCACGCACCGACTAACGGAGGCACAGTCACCTGGACGATGCCGAAGCTTCCTTGAGACGGGCACAGGAGCTCTACGATCAAATTAGCGACGCAGCTGCGAGCCTAGAAAGTTAGCTTCTGCCTCCTGTCGTATCAATGGACTGCCTCTTACCGCATGCGCTTTACAGGTCCGGCCGCTGATACTGAGGGCCTCCTACGAGGTGTGTGCATACTGTATCTGTACATGGTGCAACGGTACTCATGTCGGACAATAGAGCTCCGTCAACTTGACTCCGCCTTGCGATCAGAAGTAATCTTCGTCACCAGTGCAAAGGTACTGCCTTTACCTCCAAGTAATACATCTTCGTCTCTGGTATACTCATACGCTGGCAGAACTCCTACACCCAGCAATGTATCTCCGCCCTCCGTCGCATCTCCGCGCTCAATGCCGACCTCGTCCAACTACCACCTCTTCTATCCTCGTTGCAAGCCTCTTACCGCGCCAAGAACTCGTTTTCGCACATATCGCGCCTTCATAACATGTTATACGTGTACGGCGCGACCGTGGTAGAGATCGTGCGACGAAAAGAGTTCGCCAGGTTTTTCTATGGTAGGGCACAGAACGTGCTCGAGGTGATGGCGAAGCTCTCGTGCGTATCACTTCACGCCGCGTTGTTGCAAAATAGATTCAAATTGATGAACGACGTGGACAGGGCGAGCGAGAAGAAGAGACGGCAGGTATATAGGAGTGACATACATGGCCAGCTGCCATTCGACCCGCGGGGTATGGACGAACCTGTACCTACCATCGATTTCTCCACGAGTCGGGGCAATCTCGATGACTCATCCGGATACACATTGGAAAGGAAGGATGTGGATGGTAGGTTTCGTCCACGGCAATACAAAAGCATAGCTGAATGTTGCGCCTTGCCGCCGTTTCAGAGTTAATGCGGTTCATGAACGAACTTGAGGGGTTCGCACATACGCTCGATCCAGTGGCTGTTGAGACGGTGAAGGAGGCGAAGTTCGGACTTGAGAAGCTGATTGCGAAAATGGATGGACTGGAGGCATCGTTTGACCGCCTCGCGGAACGCTCACGTTGGTGATCCTCCTAACGCCTCGGACTTTCACGCTGACGAACTTGGTCTAGTACTCTCCTCTTCCCGGTTGATGTCTTCACGGCGACGCAGTGTGTATGCCCTTACCCTCGCCCACCTCATTCGCACTCACTTCGCGCTCGCGCCGTGTAGTCAACGGAGCGGATGAACAAGCGTACCAAGAACTCGCTGACCAGCTACGTGAAGCACAGCAAGCCAAGGCAGCACTCGAAGCGAGCTCTTCGCAAGAGCGTGCTAGACTACAGGCTGAGATCACCCAACTGCGTGCCAACGCGGAAGAGCTTAATACTTCCGTGAACACCGAACGCGAGCGATCAGACCGCCTCGAACGAGATCTGCATCTAGCTCGCGCTCAGATTGAGGGAGATACGAAGGCGCGAAAGGTCCTCGAAAGCCGACACGCCGAACTGCTGGCGGAGGTGGACTCCATGCGCCGCTCGCATGCCGAAGCCCTTGCGGAGGCTACGGAACAGACGAAGGCGGCTGAGGTTCTCCGGCAAGAGCTAGACCAGGTCCGCGCGGAGGCGGAGGCCGTCAAAGCCCTCGAGACGCGGAACTCAGACCGCATCGCGAGACTCGTGGTTGACCAAGCCACGACGCTGCGTAACTTGGAGGAGGCTCGCGCACGTGGAGAGGACCTGGAGTCGCAGATCAAAGCCGCGCGGGCGGACAGCGACCAGGTTCACCGCGCGCTCGACGACGCGCGGAGAGAGAAGGACCGTCTCTTGCGCGCGCAGGCGAGCGAGCACGACCGAATTATGCGCGACCACATGGTCGAGGCCGACTCGGACCGTGCCGTGCTGCAACACCACTTCTCGGAGTTGAAGGCGACTCTTGAGGACAAGACACGCGAGCTCAAAGACATGAAAACCGAGATTGAAATCCAGAAGGCGGACGCGACGGGTTTGCGCGAGGAGCTACAGCGCGTTGAACTCGAACTTCGCGAATCAAGGCACGTAGAACGGATTTTGCGGGAGGAGCTTAGGAGTGGCGAGTACTCGCACTCTGAGATCGAGCATAGGGAGGAGCAGAGCAACAGACTGGTCGCTGAGATCCTCGCCGTTGCCATTGCATTCCGAAATGCCCAGGTCAAAGCCATGAACGCCGCGCAGGCTATGACGGCCCACCCGAGTGCCGCCAGCAAGGCCTCCTCCAACCTCACCGACTCGGTTTTCCACTCCAGTCCTGGTCCTTCGGTGTCACCCCTTTCGGCCGGGTTCAGGCGAAACCTCATCATGCAGCAAGACGAGCCCGAGCCCATCGACCCGAGCGACCCTGCTGCTGCGCTGGAAGTTCTTCGTAGCTTTGACCAGGACCTTTTCCTCGAGGCCATCGCCAAGACCGGCTCCACCATCAGGAAGTGGCAGAAGCAATGCAAGGAATACCGCGAGCGCGCTAAGGGCAAAATTTCGTTCCGAAATTTCGCCAAGGGCGACCTCGCGCTCTTCCTCCCGACTCGTAACTCAGTGTCCAAACCTTGGGCCGCATTCAACGGTGCGTTCGGTGTTGCGATCCCTTGCGCTTTGATCGCTTCAAGACGCGATCTCTCGCTATCGTCGAAGTGTGGCGCTTGTGCTGATCCGAGGTTTTCCCTTTTCCAGTTTCGTTTCCGCATTATTTCCTTCAGGCGAACGGGCATCTCGCGGAGCAGTTGAAGACACGAGAATGGATTGTCGCCAGAATCACATCGATAACGGAGCGAATAGTCGACGGTAACGTGAGTGTGCGGATCTTGTGCAACTTTTTGCGGTGTTGACAAGTTACTGCTCCAGGATCCCGACAGTAACCCGTATGGACTAGGGGATGGCGTGAAGTACTACATGCTCGAAGTGGAGGACTGGACGCAGCCTACCCCATCCGGCAAACGGAAGGTGTCGTCTCGACAAGTATCCACGACGGACAGAGAGCCGCCCGCGAGTCCTCCCGCGGACGTTATCTCGCCTCCCCCAGGCCCGCCGGAGGCCGAAGTCGAGGAATCCTTCGGCGTTACCCGGGCACCTGCGTCCCACCTATTCCCTGTACGACAACGAGCCAGCTCATCCCCTACAGCGGGACCGTCAGCACTGTCTCGACTTCTTGCTCAGGCACCGGCTGAAAATGGACTCGAGCCCATCCCAGCCACGCCCCCGTCCGCTGGAACACGACCTTCGTCCCCCGGGGCGAGTCCATCCCCGGCGCCGGAACCTGAACCGTCGGCGCGGCCATTGACACGGTCGCCTTCTCCTGCGACCTCCCCTCCACCACCACCCTCACCTATTGTTACCCGGAATACACCTCCCGCCGCTGTCTCCGGATCTACGAGCACGCCGCATCTACCCTCGCCTCTGCGACCAGGCTCGCGCGCATCACGCAATTCGACGTCATCACGATTCTCAGTGCGAATACCCCCATTCGGTGGTGCCACGGTGTCCGGGTCTGCCGCCAAGGCGTCACCTACGACAGCGCTGGCCATTGCAGAACATCCGATCTCTCCTAGCCAGACAATGCCGGCGGCTAATGATATCCAATCTTCGCCCTCACCGGACGAATCCATTTTTGAGGGCATGTCTAACCAGTTGATGCAACATGATCGACGGCGGACGACTTCATACCATATACCGAGACCGTCGCCGCTTACGGGATCGCCATCGATTTCCAACGCGCGGGGAACCATCACCTTTGCCAACCTAGCAAACAGCTGGGGTTTCGGGCGCAAGAAGAGGTTGCCGGTAGCGGCTCTCAAGCCGGCAGTCGCGGACGCGCCAACAGATACCACTAGCACCGAGACAGGTCCAGCAGGACGCGCTGCTACCGCCACTGCCAGCAATATCCCAGCTACTTCTGCGGCCGATTTGCTGAAGAAGTTCTGACCTGCCTTCCTGCTTCGATCTGGTCAGCATGATCTCGGAGTATAGCATATTGCGTGCGGGGCTGGTTCCTGGATGTTTGTCCTCGGAATAACATCGCCCAGTATTGACAGAAGGCTTCGTCACATTCTTGTTTGTCGTGGAAACTTGGTTAATTGATGGCGAAGTGCCCGATCATGCTCAGGAACGTCCGAAGGGCGAAGCTAACGTTGAAAAACAAGCAAAGCGAGTGCTGTCTGTTTGATCGAGCGAGATGAGGACCGCTCTGCGTCGGCTAGTTGTTTGTCCCCTTGTTATGCGTCATCCTGATAAACGATGGTCATAATGCGTTTACCTACATACTTGACTGCGTCACTCGACTCGTCAACTCACCGCAGGCAGTAGAGCAAGCATGCGACTGGGAGCAAGAGGGGGTGGATCATTTGCAAATTGGAAATCGACATCGCCACCATATCGTTCAGGGCCACGTCGGAGTGCGGGGTAATCTCGGGATTGTCCCAGGATCCATTCACTATGGGCTCAAACTTCACGTTGCTTGGCGGGCCTGAACGAGCTAACCACATGCACGATAACGATGATATTGCCAGATGCGTCCACGGGCTCTGGCACTGTTATGGAACCGGTCGGGCGCCATGGAATGCAGCGCCAAGACCCGAGCGGTAGGTATGTCTCGCCAGTGGCCGGACCTCCCGACTCCCGACGTGGTGATGGAGGTCACAAGACGGCGGAGCTTGTGCTCGACACTGGGCTATCTGTCAACGAGCGTCATGCAGACCCGTGAATACTCTCGGGTAGCCGGAACATGTTTTTATTTTTCGTCGCCCGGACCTGTCCGCCTGCGGACGGCTCCGAGTTCGCTGGGCTGGAAGAAGCTAGATTGGTCTGATTGAATCTTGCTCGCCCGCTTCATTCTGGAACGTGCTCACGGACGCTTTAGATGGAGATCCCTCGCCGCTTGCATTTACGACGGTCGTGCCGCCCACACCGTCGCTCGTTGTGCTGCCGTTCCTCTTGCATCGCTCGTCGACGACGACGCGCTTGACGCCGCACGGTGCGGCGGCCGGCCTCCGACAGCACTAGCGGGTGATCTGTAGATGCGCTGTGGGGTGCGGGGGTGGGGAATCTGACACCCTTCGGAGATTCTTCGCGGGAAAGGTACCTAAACCGATCAGCTGTTCCCGAGACCGCCCTCCTGTCCGTCGACCCGGCCCAGTTGGCCTGAGCCCATATTCTTATTGATTCCTATAAAAGATCGCGTCGGGCTACGGCACCCGCCAGTCCGCTTCTCTTCTTGGACCCCCACGATATCCTCGCTCAGTCTCTGTAACCATGGCTGGAGGTGCAGTTGCTGCCCCTCAGGGTAACGCGCACTTTGCGCATCTGCTCCATCCCGAGAGAAGGTGGTTCAACAACAGGCGGTATGTTTGCGATGGGTGCTCGAGCCTTGTGCGGCGCGCTCATTTTTACTTCCTCAGACTAATCATCCTCAACGCATGGATCGTGCTCATGCTCATCACCTCCTCGACAAACGGCTACGATGGAAGTATGATGAACGGTCTCCAGACGCTTGACCAGTGGACAAGCTACTTCAACAACCCAGAGGGCGGCACCCTCGGGGTTTTCAACGCCATCCAGGTTTGTCATACCCATGATGCCAATGGACCGCAGCTCATTGGAATCGTCTCTGAATATAGAACATCGGATCCCTAGCGGCGTACCCGTTCGCGCCCTTCGTTTCCGATGGCATTGGTCGCCGCCGCACCATTTTCCTCGGTGCTGCCATAATGTGCGCCGCGACTGCTATCCAGACCGCCGCGCAATCTATTGGCATGTTCATTGGTGCCAGGTGGGTTCAAACCCACATTCCGAAACGGACGGGCCGATCTCACGGACATTTCATTCTAGGTTCCTCATTGGCTTCGGTCTCACCTTCGCAGGTCGGCGCCTGATCTTCTCAAACTGATGTCCACGTGCTAACGTACTGCGTGACAGCCAATTCCGCCCCTATGTTGGTTACCGAGCTCGCCTACCCGCCATACCGCGCGCAGCTGACCTCCCTTTACAACTCCCTATGGTAGGTCCATGGAGACCATGTGGGGCTACCATTCAGATTTAACCGACATTTTCACAGGTACTCCGGCGCCATCGTCGCGGCGTGGACCACGTACGGCACATTCAAGATCAACTCCAGCTGGTCATGGCGCATCCCCTCCGCCCTCCAGGGCCTCCCATCCGTCTTCCAGGTCATCCTCATCCTTTTCGCACCCGAATCGCCTCGTTGGCTTGTCAGCAAGGGTCGCGAGGATGAGGCCCTCAAGGTCCTTGCCTACTACCACGCCGACGGCGACGAGACCGACGGTCTCGTTCGCTACGAGCTTGAGGAGATCAAGGCTGCCATCGAGTTCGACCGCACCGTGGCGGCCAACGTTGGCTACAAGTCTCTCTTCACCTCGCCAGGCAATCGCAAACGCATGCGGATCATCATCGCCATCGCGTTCTTCTCTCAGTGGTCCGGAAACGGCCTTGTCTCCTACTACCTCACCAAGGTCTTCGACACCATCGGTATCACCAGCAAGACGATCCAGCTGCTCATCAACGGTATCCTTCAAATTTGGAATCTGTGCTGGGCCGTATTTGCGTCATTCATGTGCGATCGTGCCGGTCGTCGCGCGCTTTTCTTGATCTCCACTGCCGGCATGTTCATCGGATTCCTGTTCCAAACGGTGTGCTCTGCCCAATTCGCAATTCATGGCACGGAGTCCGCGGCGCACGCCGTCATCGCCTTCATCTTCATCTTCTACGCGTTCTACGAGTAAGTCGACTTCCTTCTGATGTCACGTCGGTCAGGGTCTCACGATTGTCTTTCCCTGTGCAGTCTCGCGTTCACGCCTCTCATCGTATCATATACCGTGGAGATTTTGCCCTTCCCTATCCGTGCCAAGGGCTTCAACGTGTTCAACTTCGTCATCTCCCTCGCCCTCATCTTCAACCAATACGTCAACCCGATCGCCCTCAAGCACCTCGCGTGGAAGTATTACATCGTTTACGTCGTCTGGATCGTCTTCGAGTTCTTCTTCTGCTACTTCTTCATCGTCGAGACGAAGAACCGCACGCTCGAGGAGACCGCCGCGCTATTCGACGGCGATCAAGCGGCCGCGCACATTGTTGGCCACGCCGCCGACGAAGTCATGGAGGACCACCGCGAAAAGGGCTCGTACACCCCGACCAGCGAGGTCACGCACAAGGTCTAAGGCCGCTTGCGTAACTTCACCATAATTTCTCCATTCGCAAGGCTATATATTATTGGACATGGATCCGCGGCCTGCTCGACTGACAATCGGAGCATGTATACACGCATCATTCCACACGATCTATTCTACGGAGCATTTACGACGGCATGTTTTGTTATTGTGTACTATTAGTAGCAATCGCATCGGGAGCAGTATTGCATAACGCAATCGGCTTGAACTGAATTCGCGGCGGCGTTGTTTGTATGTGTGAGAGCTCTCGTTTGACGGCGACGTTCTGACGGGAGTGCCGCCCCTCTCATGCTATCGCGGATCGTGCACGTGTACCTCTGCCCGTTGGAGACGGACGCCAGCGAGGGAATCCGATGGAAATCATATCCAGATACGTAAGTATAGCGCGATGACGTTCCCGCCACATACCTGAGCCCGCCGTGACGCGGACCGGTTCTTCATGAAGTCTGATTTAATTTTGCCTGCATGAGAAGCATGAGCAGAAATACCCCGTTCGCGGGGATGATGTATGCAGTACCTGCCAGGCTGCAGGCTCGGATAACCTCACGGCCCTGCATGCCCAATACACTGGTCCCGCTTCCAGTCCTCGTGTAGCGCCTTCACCCAATCCAACCCAGAGGTATGGCGGTGGAGAATAACTATCCTGGTCCCCTGCAGGAACCCCTCATATCTGACTTTGGGATCAGATAGAAACTGGTCACATTCCATGAGTCAACCGTTATCGGTTAGGACGATTTCGACGCGCTCAAGCGCCGAAGATTGCGCAACGCAAGGTAACTTCAATTGCCAAACCCATGTCGGATTGGCAGCCAGAGCTATAGTCGTCGGAAATGGCGACAGTCTGGATCCATGACGATCACGAACCTCGATATCTAGCAGCCTCGTGTTCACCGAGGGGATGCGGCGTACATGCGGGCGTCGTCTGAAGTTGTTCCAAACCCGTGCGCCGTGGGCAGGAACGATAGTGAGCGACTGACGTTATTGCCATCGCGCTCTTAATCTTCATGGCCAGTGGTCTTGATCGAGGTTGATGATGGAAAGGGCCCGTACCATCCGAAGAGAACCAGAAGATTTGGTGAACGAGGGCCCTCAGTTCAGATCCCCTGGTCTTTCCAAGCTGTGCCCGCCTATCCAGAGATCGGGAACATGCGGAGCGAGCTCGTTCCATGCAGAGACGCATGGAAGGCCGCAATCTCTCTATGTAAGCATCGGTTAGCTCGACCTACCGGGGAGCGACATGTTTTGCAGACGAAGATCAACACCAAGGCCATTCTCTTATGCAGGCCGAGCTTATGAATGCTGGCAAGAGGTCGTTTCGCTAAGAGTGCATTCAATGGAAAAACATTTGACCGAGATGTTGACCCTGGGCGAGCAACCGAATCAGCTGTACAACCTCTATGTAGCGGATGTAACTTACTGGAAACGCACTATGTAGTGTCAACTGTTCGTTCAGTAACGCCGTCTTCCCCTTCGTGATGGACCTCAACCGGCTTGCTGCATTCAAAGCATAGATCGAAGACGAAACAGGCGCTCAGCTTTCCCTCGCTATGAATCTGACCCTTTCTGACCCGCTATGACCTCCGACATGTTGGATCCGGGGTTCTGATCGCCGGGCCGTCATCGGCAGCTGTTTTATGTTGGATCTCATGTCTCTTTGCGCAACGTTACCTCCAGCATGACTTTCGGCCTTCTCGAGGCCATCGGAAGGACACCGATTGTAGTCGATGAGGGATGGCAAACAGAAACTTTGCAAGAGGGGGACCTTGTGCATTCAAAGGGCCGCACGTTTGTGTGGGGCCCCAACCACCTCAAGAATAGCGAGCTTGAACCGTGCGTGGTCATCTCATTGCTCGATCGTTTCCGTCATTGACGCCGATGATAGCTGGAGACAACTCTCGGACACGAATGCCGACAAAGCACTAGCTACTCTTTCGAAACTTTCGTCAGCCAATTCAGGCGGCTTAGATTCTCCTTTCAATCGGATCAAGACTTACATACAGGCCGTACCCATAGAACAACGGGACCCGGATATCCAAGCCTTTTGGTCTGAAGCGACTGCTTTACCTCATGTCCACTGCCAGGGCGACGACGGCATACTAAAATCCAATATGGAATCCTCAGGCGAGCAGGAGAACATCCGAGCGTTCCTAGTAGAAGGACAGCAGGTTTACGTGAAATATGCAGGCCCAACCAGTCTTGCCTTGCTGGTACGTACAGCACCTGAATTGCGAACGTCCGTTATCTAAGTTATCCTAACCAAACAACCCAGCACTATTCCCTAGCAGGCGGTTTTTCTTCTCCGCGTATAACGCGTGTACTGGAGTTAACATCCTATCTCATACCGCGCATGAGCGAATCTACAGGATGTCCCCTGTCATCTTCTGCCGAAAGCCGAGAACGTTCCGACAAGGCAACGTATGAGAGATTGTTAGAGACGGCACAGTGGGTCCTGGATTGCATGGATGGGCTAGAGGCTATTTTGCCTCCTACAGGCCCAGGTGATCCAGGAGGTCGTGGATGGGAGGCAACCGTTCAGGTACGACTCCTGCATGCCCAGATGAGAGCCCAAGTGCTTGGAAGAGCCAAGGTCTACGCAACTAAAGGCGATAATGACACGGCTTACAGCGTGACAGTAGATGGGGTAGGCTCCTCTTCGTTCAACCTCACATCGCAACGATGGTTGACATGATTGAAGGTGCCACTCAATCAGGAGGATATGGCGGCAACTCTCGGGGCATTCAGTGTCGCGCCGATCTGGTCGCTGGAGCGCATGGGGTTCCATTTGTCCGCGCGGGAGAAGGAGGCATATCTGTTCCTCTGGCGATACCTTGGCTATTACCTTGGTGCGGCATACTCGACCTACCCATCACACTGAGCTGACCGAATCGCCATCAGGTATTCGAAATTTAATTCTCGACCGCCATTTCAGTTCATGGGCGCGGGCTGAAGCGTTCCTCCTGTCGAGCGTACTGCATCTCTTCGCGTTTAGAAAAACTCCAGAACAGTTGGCACGCCTACCAACGATTCCCGTTCTGCGTGCGGTGTCAGGACGACCTCCGTTCCGCTCGTCATTGCGATACAACCTTGCCATATCTAGATCACTTCTCGGCGATGAGTTCGCATCCGACCTCGGTATACCTTCAACGACATTTTACTCGTGGATGCAGGTGCAGCTGAGTTTCGTAACCATGCGCGTACCGGTCCTGTTCGGGCAGTTCTATCCCCGGAAGCGGTGGGAGTGGAAGAGACGCGAGGTGATTCGCCGGGCATTGCCTCGCGTAGTGATTTGGGGACTCGGTGGGCGGCGGACGAACTTTGTCGTGGGCAAAGACAAGTGGTGCACTGTGGACATGAAGAGCGATAGATGGGTGCGGGATGGCCAGGAAATCATGAGGATGTGGAAAGAGATATGGAGGGAGCTAAGCCTCGTTGTCGCGGGTTGCATTTGTGTTGGCACGATTGTAGGTTATGGAGTATGGGCATCACTTTCTTAGGCGCCTCATTCATTTTCATGGGACGAAGCCGTCTCGCATTACGTAGATTAATATTCATGTGGATAGAAAGTCGTTATAGCATATACTGTAGGAAGCGCTTGCGGTGCGGATCGTCATCTGCACTTGCTAGGGGAGTTGTTGGCAATAAATTCTGCGACCACCAACTGACGGTACCATCCCTTTGCCCTGCCGCAAAAACATAGGGCGAAGTGACAGCACGATTCCAGGCGATGGCGGTGAGGCCGGGGATGGCTTTATGTCGGTGGAGTAGAGTACCCGTGTCTCGATCCCATACATGTATGATGCCGGCTTCATAAAGCAATATCATTGTTCAGTGGCATGAATCCACGGTAACGGGACCAATCACCTTTCGTCATACAGAGTACTAGCTGATCATCACGACCTCCAAAATTCACTTGACTTTGGAATCCCGTTGGAGTGGATGGAAAGTAGGCACGTCTCATTGAAATGCTAGTGCTCATGCTGGTGCCTGCGTCATGCCTGCTTTGTTGATTGATATAATCTATGGACCACAACTGAGGGGGCGACTGCAAGGCATGTGAACAGAAGTAGCCGATTGCATATTAGCAGACTTACCGAATCATTGTAACCAGTCAGAGCGTGCGTACCGCTCTTGCTCAACACGATTTTGCCCATGCCATGAAGCGTAGGTACATGGCTATGTGAAGTCATCTCACTAAGCCTGCACTTCATATTACCATGAATATTCATACCTTTCGTAGACCTTACAAACTAGATTATAAACTGTAAATTTATGCGATCAGACCGAGCGGCATGGAAACGAGATTGGGACGTATTCCTGACCGAATAGGCGCCTTTCCAACCGAGACTTCTTGGAAGCCATCCCATCCCAACGGCCCCTGTAGGTCGCAATAGCAATGACCCGGTCACCATCCGGAGTGATTGCAATGTCATGAACTTCCAACGAGGGCCACCATATAGCCTCAAGGAGCTAACAGGAGTACATCATGCGCGGCACAGAGTGCAAAAACCCAAATAATGCCGTACCTTCCCTGACACACTCTGTTAAAAAATATTCAGAAATCTGGCCAAACGAATGAATGCACTTTCTTACTATCTTCACTACATCCGTGTCTGATGATGATGATGCATTCTCTTCCACGAGGAGGAATGCTACAAGGTGCATCGGGTAAAAGTGTTGAGGGGCTCGTACAGCATGCTGTAGCTTTGTGGACAATCACCTTGCCCGTCAGCCAACCACGCGAGTGCCCTCACGTAACACGAGCGCCGTAGGGTTTTTACACAAAGACCGTCCTAGGAACATCATGTCAGCCAGACAAAGGATCTGTCAGATCACAATGCCTACCTTTGTCCATAATTTGATAATCTGATCTAACCGCGTAAGCAGATGATTGCCGTCAGGAGACCTAAGGGGTTAGGGCCTATTATATCACACCGTATGTGCCTCATACCGAAAGCTTACCATACGACCTGGCTAAGGCGGACATCCTCGTGATGTGCAAGAGTGCGATGTCTGGTGTATGAGCCCTACGTAGTCCGAACGTGAGTAAGGTGTATGGATGCACAAAGGTTGCACACATTTTTCTGGGTGAAGATAGCTGCTGTCCCATCCCAACTACGTGGGGAATGTCAATGGAAAAGACGAACTTGACCCATCTGACACATACCTGGCTGTTGCTAAAGTGTTGCCGTCGGGAGAAAACTGCATATCCTTCACCAGAGAGAGATGCATTTTGTCATCTTGGTCAACATTCCAGCTTCGCAGTTGGTCAGTCAGTGCTGCTAGTCTGATTCGCCGAGCAAACCCTGCACCAGTGAATGGAGGTAGAGCAGCGCCGGGGACGCTATACCAATTGCTTTCACGAGGATTCAACGGATCCATTGATCGTTGCATAGACATTACCATGCGGACGGCGCCCTCCAACCGGCGGTGATCTTGCCGATTGCTGTCGGATGGTGGTGTCGTTTCTTCCCGAAGATTTGAGTTTGAATGCATCGCCTGTTCGATCGGTAGCTGGGATTGTGAGCCACCGGCATCCGAACGATCATGAGTATCTGAAGCTGTCATAGGAAGAGCCGGGGGAGAAATGCTAACGTCCCAATGACTGTCACGTCGGGACCGAAATACCAAAATCCTGGCCTTCTGGGGCAATGTGCGAAGCCAGTGACCAAAATAAGACATCCTGCGAGTGGAGCGCTGTTTCAATACCATCAAGTTTTCGCGAGCAGTGACATAGGGCATAGAAGCTTTGACGCTCTGTTGTGTTTCTCTGAATAGGTCTGCCGGCCACTTGGTCCCGTCGAACTGGTAGAATGTCCATCTCTCGAGGCCTATTAGTCCCAGAATAGCAAAAAGTCCCAATGAACTAGCGCCAGCTAATGCGGTGCCGACCAAGCTCACGACCAAGTTCTGAAATGAAAATATGAGCATAAGTTCTTCATTCAACTGTGGTTGTATACCTCATGCGACAGGTAGGGAAACATAATTAATCCGACGAAGAATGTGATGACGGATAGCATAAGAAGAATCAAAGGCATCCTCTTCATCCAGAACATCACCCACCATGCCAGGCGATGTTCCGGAGAACGACTAAAGCAAACCAAGGGTTCGATCGTGACATAACACGTATTTGAGGAGGGTGCGTACGTACTATATTGTTTTGTTCCACAGCATCCCCAGTAAGGTATTGACCACTGATGCGACACTAAAAATGAGGGAATATAGCCAAAGACCATTCACGACATTCCCGAAAGTGCTCGACTCGTCGACAGTGATTTGTATTGTGGTCGCGCTGACGCCAGAGAACAGGGTGGCCACTGCGAGAAGCACCTGGGGCTCCTGCATGGCACGCGCTTGCTCCAAGCGCACTTCAGGTACACCTAAGCAACTGTCCGAATCAGGTTTAGCCATATGAGTAACATGTTTATTGTACTCACCAACCCGGACGAGCTCAGAGATTGTGCTTGCAACAGCGTCACAATGTTGCCCTACCTCTCCGGATAGATCGTGGAGGTAGTGTGAAACTGCCAGTTCATTCATTCTCCCTGGGCAGAGAGTTAGCACATATAGCGCACCCGACACGCAATAGCAGCACCCTTGTATACGTCCATGTAAGCAGTCCAGCGCTGAAAACATAGTAAGAGGTATGTATTTCGGAGGTGGACAAGCGCAGATTTGCGTACCTTCAAATCCCCGACAAACCCGAGGATCGACATGTCAACGTGATCATCTACGAACTCCGGGAATTCCTCCAGAGCATCGTAGAGTTCTTCAACGCTGGCCTTCAGCTGATCAAACACTGTTCCTGCGTCTTCAACTGTCAAGATGTGAAGCTCAGGATTGATTGAAGGCGATCGTTGCATCCAGGAAGGCCCATCCGGGGTACGATGGTCGACATCACCGGGAAGAAGGTTAGCCGCGTTCTCGTGGAGGATGTATTCTATCTGGCGAAGACGTGACCGTACGTTCGAAATGGCGGAGAGGATACGAGCCGAACTACTGAGCTGTCGGACCTCTCCAGCGAAGTCTTTGAGCTACGTTTATGAGCAACCTCCTATAGTATGGCAGCACTGACTGACCTCAGTATCAAGTCGCAATAACCTCCTGTCATGACATATAGCAGCAAGAAGAGTCACGAGCGAGGACACGTACTTTTCAAACTGGCGATAGGACTCCACCTTAGGCGTCACTGGCTTTTCGTCTGTAAGCGCTGCAATTCTGTCCATGAATCCCGTCTTCGAGACAGCAAGATGCGTTCTTACGGGAAACATGCTCCCAAGTTATGCCTTGACGAGGCCATGGAACGTGAGTAAACGTGCGGTTATATTGGCTTGCAATCATGGGCATACTCACCGTCTTGAACCACCCCCGCTTTCTCCTCAGGAAGAGCCCGCTGTAGAGCAACAAGGAGGGCTCTAAGCACGTGTTGTAGAGGTGGATCTACAGTGTTTAGGACTTCTGGCCGCGGCTCGATCCCTCGTCCAAATCCCTTGACCTGGGACTCGGAGACGTTTTCCTGATTATTCGCTGAAACCCATGGGAGAACACAGGTGTATATCTATTAGCTGGTATGGAGAAATGCCGGCTCACGATCGCCACCCACCATTCGGGACTTTGTCCATCACCGGACTATGAAGATTTATTCGATTCAGGACCGCGAGAGGTGGTTGCAAGTAGCAGAGGCGCTGTCACGACAGATGCATGCGTTGAGCGCTCGGGCTCGGGCCCGGAAAACACGGATCAATACTTCGTCGTAACCGAATGTACTCGCGAGCTTTCTCAGTAAGTACTTACGTTGCTCTTCTAAATCTTTGGTTAGCATCGGTGCTGTTGTTCTTCGCAACGTACAATGCCGGCATCTTGATACACTACAACTGCCATTGAATCCTAGTTACCCACTTATTACCCAAGTCGCCCACCATGAAACAGATATTATAGATGCAGCGCAGATCAGGGTCACTACGGTGAGGGAACGTCATGGGCTTCGGAGATGCAACAAGTATCTGCTACCAGAATAACACAGCGACACCCCAAACCCCGCAGATAGCGGTGAATAAGCATGCTGCTGGCTGCATGACGCCCTTCGCACTGCTGGCACTTGAGCCATCGAGTTTAGTCTTCACCAGTCCGGTTGGCGCCGTAGGGAACGTCACCGTGGTTTTTGCGCCGGAGATCGTGACGTTCGGGCCAGCGTTGGTGTCGCTAGCTTCGAAGGACGTGTTGAATCTGAAAGTTTGTGTGGAGAAGGGTCCGGGCCCGCAGGAGCTGCTGTTCACTTGCGAGATGTCCGAAGACATGTTGTATGTGATGTTGAGAGATATAATATATGTTCCGGGATCAGAAACGATGGGGCAAGTGGACGCGACGTTGATCGGCGACTCGCATTCATGGGGCACTCGTGGCAGGGACCCGGTCATGTTGGCAAGGTCCGTTATTTGAGCGATGACGTCGTTGTTAGGTCCTACAAGGAAAAACTGGTAGTCGGTGCCTATACCTGCGGCAGAGTCAGCATGAGACTATAACGCGAAGTAAGATAGCCATACCAACATAGCCCTTGAAATCCGAGGGGGTTTCCCATCCTACGCAAGCTTTTGCGCCGAGGGGTACCGTGGAGTTGGGAGCGACGAGAACAATGTCTTGAGGCAGGGCGACGGTATCGTTCTCTGCCGAGAACGCTAACGATGCGGAGTAGAGCAAGGCGCCGACGAGTTTAAGGAACATTTAAGAGCGGTTGCGGTAGAGCGATGGCTTCGAAGTCGGGGTTGATCCTGTCCCGTCATCGAGGCTTTATGAGAAATTTCGCTCAAGCCGCTATCGAAGCTATTGCACCGGCGATGAGCACAGACATAGCCTAACAATCACCGTGCTCACATCAGGAAGACGAACTGCGTGCGAGTCTGATGCAGCTGAAGATGTCGATGTATCACAAGCATATCAGATTGACGTCGGTCAAATCCCTAATAAAAAAACAAACAAGTTGAGTACCGGTGAACGAAAGGAACATAGCGCCGGCTTGCTATGGGTTCTCGGCAACGCTTCCTGCACGCAAGCGTTCAGACATATGATGGTCGCGACGCGAGCGGGACTCGGCCTTGGGGCTGCATAGCAGCGTTCGACCTGTCCTGCGCGTCCGTTAGCACTCGCCCTGGTCGTCGAAACGGACAACGATCAAACTATTGATCACATAGCACGCTGCTTACTTGGCTTCGGGAGCGCCGGGGCGGTGTGACCTTCCTGATCTACACCCATACTGTGAAGGCTAGTGTATCACGCCGCCTTCGCATCGAAGTGGGTCAATGAGAACTTTGTAGGTGGCCCATTCGTCGTGCCTGAGTTCCAGGACAGCATTTGGTCCGAATCGGTCGGGCTACGAGGACTTAGGTACTATTTGAGATGATACGTCATCTCGAGAGCAGACAAGAACGTCTTTCCATGCTGGAGCGCTTCATCGATTCTGTCTCCTTCCCGCTCCCCGTGGTTAGCCATTGCTGACAGACGTAGTCCGACGGTAGCGCGAAACAAGGTTGGTTGAACGGGGGGGGTACACGATGGGCGACGCAGGCATGGACCGGAAGGCAGATTTCACTCGATTCATCCAGCCGATGTTGTAGAGCTTCATGAGTAGATGTGAGTAGTATGTAGCGGTGACCGTGAGGAGGCAGAAAACAAGACACGCCGTGCAGACGCGGCCAGCCACAAGCCCTGATGTAACCTGGCGACGAGAATCGACGACCATACGCGTCTTTCCACACAATGTCATACTCTGAAGATCTCCATGGCACGGGAGTCGAGAAGACAAAGACGTCGTTGTCCTCCGATCAGTCGATTCGAGCTTGCGATGTTATTGTACGTATAGCTACAGCCTACCTGGCCTCAGTTTTGTTCTGGACGCCCTGAACGACCGCTTCGGTCGGTGTTGTTACTGGATCGGCCTTCGACGATACTTAATGGATGTATCTCGCAACCTCTGATGTTCCTACGCTTCTCCGCTCGTCCGACACTGGCTGCGCTATACGTCCTGACAGCCCTCAGTGCCGAATCAATACAAGCTCTGGCTGAGCTCGGGTGAAATGTCGACAACTGAGTTGGACATCCGAAACATGAGCTCATTCCTCTCGAAGCTCGAGCGCCCATTTAAGGATGCTGCCAAGTTCCTTCGGCGACGGAACCCCGACAGGTGAGGCTCCATGTCGATCAGCAAAACGCACTTGGTTGCTAATCAGCGCGTTTCGCATGGTTCAGCCTCTCAAAACGTCCAAGCAACACGAAAAGTCATAAACCCTCGGTGATTCGGGCTAGTTTGGATGTGATATGTGAGCTCCAGTTATTCAGTCGATCAGAAGGACTCTTCATGATGCCTTCTGCAGCTCAGCGAAACCATTCTCCAGATTTTCCCTTGCATCAGACGGCTGCAGCAACTTCCGTTACAGAGAAGAACGCTCCTGCGACGGGTGGGGATCGCATATTCGAGCAACTGAACAGTGCTACGCGCGAAGCACCACGAGAGCAATCATTATCTCCCGATGGGGACTCAGCCCCATTAGCCGCTAATCCGGTTATTCCGAGTCAAGGTTTGCCTTTAATCTGCTTTTAAATTGAGAGACTCCGATTGTTGACCTGTACCTATATCTAGTCGGGAAACCTCGCGTGCGGCTCTGCAATCGTATGAACTCGGCATGCATTATCGAAATCACTCGCGATGCCAGTGGTGAAGTTTGCGTGATCCTTCGATCGGCCGAGGATCCCATTCCTCCCCCATCTCGGTCGACAGCGCCTAGGTGGCGTCGTCGTCATATTCCGTTGCCCGATATTCCAGAGCTCTCTCCCCCTACAGCGGACGATAGCCCGTCGCCACCCGCCCTCGACATCGCCTTCAGTGGTATTCACGCGCCTCAACGATCGCCATTATCACCATTCTTGGAGTTAGAGGAGCTATCATCTGAGGACTTCAAAGGCAATGAAGGCGATGTCGGTGAAATGGGTGATGCCGAATCCACGGATGATAGCTCCGACTCGCACCAGCTCGCTTTTTGGGCGTCGTAGCGTCCGGCCACCGCTATGCTGTCTGACCCTCGGACGCGCACGGGCTTCACGGTCTGCACCAACTGCGTCTTTGGATTTCGTGGAACCTGGCTTGTTTATACTTGCTCGCAAATCACGACAATAATACTGACATTCACGGCTGCTTCACACCACGAGACGAAAATTTGCATTTATCATCGGACCATATATCATCTTACAAGAAGTATCGCCACGTTCTCGCATTTCACATATGCATGTAGATAGACGCCCTATGTAATCAAAACATTAATGTGGAATATCTGCAACGAAGCTTGCGGGACGCTCATGGCGGCCTATGTCCATTGTGGGAACGACGTCATACCGGCACTCTCGCCGCGTCAAGCCGCGACACTGCCCGTTTCCCCGACGAGTCTCGCCACTTGTACCTGGTTATAATGTCGCATGTTTTATGAGAACGGATTGCACGACCTTGCGTAACCAGACGGTGCTCACCCTGACCCGCAACCTCGACGACTAGTGCTCCCTGCAAACTTCGGGATATCACCCCCCATACTCCTGAACCCCATACGATCCCACACCTTACTCTACACCACTCGCTCGGACCCCGCTTCACCAACAATCTAATTGATAAGACCTCGCCATGCCGATTTACGACCAACACCCCGTGTACCCGCACCAGGCGCATCTGCGCTTTGCATACGAGCCCTTTAAATCTATCTACGTGTGGTGGAGGCTGCTCACTACGCTCATCGTCAGTGAGTCTGCAACCCTTGAGTTCGCAAGGTTGGGCACTAAATCGACACCTCAAGCGGGACTATGGACTGTATACTACACGTTTATGCCCAGAAGGTTTAGGCCGAGGCCGTCCTGGAGTCTCCTGCAGATCATCATCGTCAAATTCTATAGACGAATATTCAAGGCAAGTCTCAGTCACACACATGGTTCCGTTGTTGTTATCTTTACTGTCTTTCCTTCAGGTCACGGAGGTAGCTGGTGTTACATGGGGCACTCGTGATCCTCAGGCGGAGTGCGACAATAGGACCCTTCGAGAAACACGGTATGCTAATATTCAGGTATCGATTCCGTTGCTCAAGCTGATCCTTGGTCGCCCAGATTTGAATGGGTTCCAGCCCTTCCCGAAGAGCTTCGCACCGGCGTCCTCGTAGACGAGAAAGTTTCATTCCAGAAGGTCGGCACTTTCATCTGGCCGAAAAGTGCTCCTTGCATTGTTGGCGACAGTAGCTACCGGGACTCGGAGTCGAGCAACGGGAAGCAGAGCGCAGAATCGGCGAACACCCAGGTGCAGAACAAACCATCGGTTGCAGATGTCGATGCCGAGCAGACTGTCGGCGCGCCGAAAGTCATTGGGGTGTTCATGCATGGCGGAGGTTACACGCAAATGTCTGCCCACGAGAAGGCTGGGACTAGTCGTATACCTCGCAGACTCGTTGAGGTTAGTTACTGGGTGCAGTTTGACTACGATACACTGGAAGCTGATGTATGCCGTTCTCAGGACAAGACCTTCACGGAGATACACGCAGTCGAGTACCGCCTACTGCAACACGGACCGTGCCCGGCTGCTTTGCAAGATGCTGCTGCTGTCTACTCGCATCTAGTCCGCTTTCACCCTGGATTGCGGGCAGTGAAAGGTGAGCGTTGACGCTAACACACGCATCTTGTCCTGACGTAGCTCAACGAATCACAGGCGAAGACGGTGTTTGGCGATATCCTCACGACCCGCCTTCTGCGAAATCCCATCCGAGCAGGAAACACAACATTCCCGGAATGGAAACGGATGACTCGGATGAATCGCCATGGTCGTCGCCAGAAGGGACGCCCATGACCGGCTATAAGATTCCATCCGGATTGGGTCACGAAATTCCGAACGAAGGTAACAACACAACTCGGGACGTGTTGTGGTGTACTGAACCACCCTACGCAGGTCCCTCTACGACAACGGAATACGCTAACGTGTCAGAGACTGGAGTGCCTTTACACATCAATGCCGAGGGACAGCCAGTCAGGTCACCTTTACCGAACACGAACTCGTAAGTGAAACATGAAGCAATAGGTTGCGATGAAGCTCACTGATCGTGGTCAGCGTCAATGGCGCCGGGGGAAAAGCGATGCGTGATGGAAATTCCCCACAAGGAGGCCGACAGACCAAGATCGTGCTTATCGGTGCGCTCCGTCCGTAACTGCTGCTGTGCTACTCGAGGGCTCAGATTTGATTGTATTCAGGCGACAGCGCAGGTGGCAATTTGGTACTTGGTCTAGCGCGGTGGATCCGTGACGAAGGCGTTCTCCCCATGCCGGACGGCTTGCTGTTGCTCAGTGTAGGTTTCATTGCATGATGTTTGATCCCGTGTCTGAGTTCTCCTCTAGCCATCGTGTGACCCGTCCCACGCGTTCCCATTGACTCCGTCGTCCTATATCCCTCGACCACATGCAAGCACCGACTATCTCGTTGACAACCCCGAACCACGCGCGCTGCTTCAGAAGACGTTCCTTGGGTTGGCGTTTCATGCTACCCGTATCTGACCGTCTCTGATCCGAGTCCTACCTAGTCACCACCCGCTCGAAACGATCCATTCACCTTACCTTTCACCTGCATCCCCTCGCGTACTGCGCGCATACGGACATCCGGTCACGCATGCGGGTGAGTGATCAGTTTCCTTCCGTTCATTCCCAAATTCCCCTTTGATGCTGCCCTCTGTATGTTTTTCCGTCGTTCTCGCAAGGCACTAACGCAGACCATCACTCGACTTATCCACCTCCATCTGGCTCCCATTTGTCTCACGCTGATGACACGGCGCGCGGTTCGCGACGACGTCACGACGGCGGTACCGCGGAAATACCAGGCACCGACAAGAGTTTACATCGCAACGGGGAACACATCGGCGCAGGAGCCATCGCTGCCGCTTCCGCTAGCGTCTTGGCTATCGCTGAGCCCAACCCTGAACATACCTTAGATCTCACGCTCATGCCAGGTCAGTTTGCTATCGTCCTCATTGCTTTTAGATCAATCAACTCCAAACAGAACCTGACCCAGAAGCTCCGCGCCGTTCACCCCGTGTCACTCACAAGTTGACCGAGCTCGACCGCTCCGTCCAGCGACCGGTACTGCAGAGCACACAGACGTTCCTGAATCCGAAACCCAGGCAAGTGGCTATCGTTGATGAAAACAACCCGACGGCTCATCTAGGCGCAGGGACCCGGCACTGAGGACGAGTTTGTTTGGCGGTTTCTCGAAGAGCTTTGTCACGGTCGGAGACGCTGAGCGACTGGAGCGCGAGGTCAGTATTGTCGTTTTATTCCATGAGACATCAGTCGCACTGACTTGCACGAAGATTGTCATTTTGGTGAATGCGATGAAACGAGACGGAGTGGACGTCCATGTGCAATGGGCGAAGGACGCGGTTCACGACATGCTCATGCTACCTCTCTGGGACGAGCAGATTCGAGAAGCTACTTGGCAAGCAATCCAGAAGTGGATCGCGGAGCTATGATCACGATCGGCTTCATCCAGTCGTTGCGGGCGGGGCATATCACATTCGTACGGACGCATTGCGATATATGTCTTATTTTCTTTTAGAGAGGACGATGTTCTAAAGCTCGTACTCACTGATGTACTTACTCGGAGCCAACACCTGAAATCTACCTGGCGAACTTTCAATCGGCGATGTCTGGAGATGAAGAGTCCCTGTTAGATCGTAAATCGAACGCAAGCACAATGAGCATCGACGTAGAGCAGAAAAATCGTCAGGAGGCCGATGTCGTGTTTTGGCGAGCGCTCGACGAATTTGCCATCCCACGCATAACGTTGACGCAGGCATGATTAAAGAAATGCGTCAAAACGTACGACGCTGGCAGGATTCGAACCTACGCCCGGAAACCGGAAGAGATTTCTAATCTCTCGCTATAACCACTCAGCCACAGCGCCATGTTGTGTTGCAAGCATTCACGCAATCCATCAGTCACTCGGAGAAATGCCGTACCATGGCTGAGTATTGAGTACTGTAGCTTTACGACCTTATGTTCGTCCCCTGTCCCCATGGCTTCATGAACTGAACCTAAAGTGACAGGTTGTTCCCTGTCCCCTCACCTGCCGGACGTGCGTAACTGAGTGCGGGAAAATAATGGGTTGACTGTGCGAAACACAAATGTGATGTATATCACTTCAGAACCAAAGTATATTTCCCACGGATAGTTGAACCTTCCACAAACCTGAACATAAGGTCGTAAAACTACAGTATGCTCATCTTTCGTTTCTGTTGATGCTACCTCCGCTCCAATGAAAAATGATCGCTGAGGCCTCAGGCTGACAGAAAGGAATCCAAAAAGCCGTTTAAAGTTAACGACCAATCGCTCCAAGGGCGCGTACGTCATCGATCTTGTACAAGTATGATGACACCTCGGGTCCTTTTTTTCGTCCGCCATTTCAGCCTCAGAATCCTGTGCGAGATCTCGCATCTGTACACCGATACTCAGTAGTAGGATAGTTGCGGTCATCCTTCCACATAGATCGTACCTCAAGAGGTCTAGCGGTATCAAGTATCAACCACCCACGCACGTCGTTGCCGCCATATCCAAGATCGAGAAAATGTCTGCACCACCGCTGTCGCACTTCAAGCTCCTTGTTTTCGATGTGTACGGTACTCTTGTCGTGAGCGTAGTGGCCCCCAATTTCGGTGTTTCCCTCCGCTTACCATGGATTATCGGTGGATAAAGGACTGGGAGACGGGCCTGTATACCGCCCTGAAACCATTACTGGCGATGACCTCCGGGAATACGTGGTCGAAGAGGGAGGCGCTGCAAGCTTTCTCGAGCGTTGAGAAAGATTTGCAAGCCAAGTATCCTGACGTACGGGAAATATTGCACATTGCAGTACCGAGGACTCAGGAAATAGCTGTTTGATCCAGATGCTGTACTCATATTTGCTCGCCAAGGGGCACGCGGATTTTGCGGCCCGACTCAAGTCGGAATCTTCTGCACCTGCGCCGACAGGGTCGACAACAGCGCAAGTCGAAACGAGTTCAGCTGAAGCATCGACCACCACCACTACGGCGTCGACATCCGCGGGTACGAGCGCAGCTGGGCCCACGAATGATTCCCTAGTGAGTCGCCTTACACATTTCGTAACCACGCCTTAAACACCGGCTTAGTCGTCCGCAGATATAGCATTTGGACAATCAATCAAAGACTGGCCCGTGTTCCCCGACAGTGTGGCTGCTCTTGCCACTCTTTCGAAACACTACAAGTTGGTGGTGCTTAGCAATGTCGATGAGGTTGCATGCAACTTGGTGTCTTGCTCCATGGAAGCTCAGATGTAACCACCCTGTCCAGGCTAGCTTTGCTCACACCAAGGCGGCATTGGAGCATGGCTTCGCTTTCGACGAGATCATCACTGCGGAAGATGTCGGCGCATGGAAGCCATCAACGAGGGGCCACCAATACGTCCTCGACGTTGCCAAGCAGAACTTGGGAATCGAGGCGAGCCAAGTTCTAGTCACGGCCCAAAGTCTCTGGCACGACCACACTCCCGCCGTGTGTCTCGGATTTCTCCCGATAGTTGACCCCGCTCACTTTCCGTACAGAACAAACTCGGTCTATCGTCTGTTTGGATTGACCGCGCGGGTGCAACGATTGGCATTGATAACCCGGAGAAGTACCAATATCTGCGACGTTTCGCCACTCTTGGCGAGATGGCAGCCGCTGTTGACGCAGGCGAGTGAACCAGACTGGCTGGAGAAAATACAATGTATTAAGTAGATGACGTATGCGAATAAATACCATAGCCAACGTTCAGCCTCCATCAGCTGAACACCAGGTCGCGTAGCATATCAGCCCAGCTCTGCGTCTGCCTGTGCGCACCCAGTTACTACTCTTCATCAGGCACATCCTCTATCGTTGCTGAACGGCTGTTTGGTCGTGATTCGCCTTCCCCTGAGTCAACGACCTCCTCAATCTTGGCGCCACCGGTCGCAGGCTCAGCGGGCGCTTTTCCCTTGCCCTTGTCGACCTTCTTCTTCTTCCCCTTCTTCTTGGGCAGGTCCCACTCCCACAGTGGAATAAATGATTCCACCTACAAGCACAAAAGGGGTTAACGCTATGCTGCGCCTACACAATGATAACGCTGTACTCACGAAGCCGACGTCGGCGAAGAGCTTCGGAAATATCCAGATGCCGGGTGGTGTTACGATGATGGTGATGATGTAGAAGACGAGTCGCAGGATGGCTATCACGAAGAACAGCCCGATGAGGCCTAGTACACCCATGCTGAGGTACCAAACACCCAATCGCATGCTCGCTGGCCAAAGGGGGAACATGACACCCGCTAGCATGACGACAACCATCGCGACACCACCCGCATAAGTCGTCCACTGTGAGCCTTCGTAAAACCATGCGTAATAGTCCGACGACGCGGAAGCCAGCTGGAACTGCTGCATCTGCACGATCTGAACCTGCTTAGGAGACGAGGCCGAGGAGCCGGAAGGCTGTCCCCTCTCCACCTTCAGGAAAAAGGCGAAGGGAATGATACTGTGCAGTAGTTGTGCTGCTTCTTGTTCCGAGGTGACTTTTGGTACGTTTTTTAATTTGGCATAGGCGGGGGATAGCAGAGCTTTGATGGCGCCCTTCCCTAGAAGCATACACAAGCAGTCAGATGTACGTTTTCCATGATGGGCACGGAGCCGCATCGTGTCTCCAGCCACGTATTCGTGTCTCCAGGACAAGGTTACATTAGCAACCGATCACTCACCCTTGAAGTAATCTATCCGCTTTCCGTTGAGCACTCCGACGCGTATTTTCATGCCAGCTTTGCTGGACCGCAAGAAGTTGACAACATTGCGTACATCTTGCGGTGCCTTCGCCTGCTGCTCGAGCGTAGACATTGAATGTTCGCTCTTCCGTTGGGACAAGGTTTCGCCGTCTGGCAAGGAGGCCGAGAGTCACCGGAGCACGCAGTGTCCGGTCAGACGATGCAGATATATGCTAACGAAGAGTCAAGACAGCGGATTCCAAACCGCTAGCCATGCCAGCGATGCATTGTCCAGGGCAACTGATCACATGGCCATTTCACTGGTGGCTAAGGGCGGCGGGGTATCTACAGTACGGTGTCCCAACTTCTGATACAAATCCTTGCTGTATGAACGTTCCTGCATATTCATTGCCTTCCGTGGCTAGAGGACCCCTGCGTGGCAGGTTCGGCGCAACATCTATCTGCAGTTTCGGCATGTGCGGGGGCGAAAATCCAGGTTGAGCGGTAACTTGCCAAACATTCCAGTTTCTGGGCCTCTGGCAGACAGCATGAGTTTCTCATTCGAGAAGGGATGCTATATAGCACGATACTATAGCGGAAGCACAAAGGCAGAAGCTTGGAGCCCTTCGATTGCACTCGGTTTCGTTACTTCGGGCCCGTAGGTATGTTGTGCCTGAACGATCAGCAGCAACATCTAACCGGTGCCTTCGTATCCGCATGCTGCAGACGCTGCCATATCGCCTTGCTAACGCGCATAACGTCCTTCAGCAGCCGCGTTGGTGCATTATCAGCCAACACTGAAACACGTCCTTGAGCGACTTACTACGGATTCTTTGGAAGGTTTGCAGGGAAATCCGTCGAGGCAAGACACAAGCATTCACCTGCACGTATCTAGAAAACTGAAGGCGCATCATTTAGCCGCTTTGCTGGTCATAATTGAGTGGGACCAACTCACGAAACGCCAGACAGGTTTGCAGTGCAGCCCTCGTCGCACGGACCGTCGAGCCTATAGGAAGCGAGCGGCAAGCCGAGTCAATCCCAGAGGGATTGGTGCGAAGCATTCACGTTGAAGTGATGTGTAGCTCAGTCAATTGCAAAGGACTGACGCTAAGCATTCACGTTGAAGCGATGTAGCCTGTTTTTCCCGATGGATAATCCGCTTGCTGTTCTAGGGGCAGACAATTTGAAGGCATACGGTCATGCCCGCGGCAACCGCGAATCGCATAATCATCCGCCCATACGTGGTTTCCAACGGTTGCAGTCGCGAGTTTGTGCCTGGCCCCCGGTGAAGAGATGACCATATGGGCCGGGCCTGTTTAAGGCCATTACCCAGTGGACGTCCAAGCCTTCCCGCTCTCGGAGGTCATGGACGGAGGGTAAGTTTTCTATATCGCCAGTCTCCCGGCGCGCGGCGTTTGAACTTGAGGCAGTTGCCCGCCTACTGGATGTGGCGGCGGACGGAGGTTTGTCGCTCCTGGTTATGTTCCAAAACGTATGGATCATGAGTGAATCGCTAGACCTTCTCTCTCTATGGAATATACAACCGATGCACCCCCTCCTGCTTTGCACCCCTCGACCGGCCACTCGGCGGGTTACATTCGCGTCGAGCTTCAAGAGTTGCAGGGAGCCGATCGGGGTAGGAAGTGAGTGCTCTAGCGGGTGACGACGCCCCCTCGACGGCTGAAATTATTTTAATTGCCTAAGATACGGTGTCAAGGACCGCCGACCTCTCGACCCGGTACCATTCGCCTTCACGTTTGCATCATACTGAAGTTGTGCGCTCATCGGAACTGTGCGATACAGCCCCCCGTCGTGCAGCTACGGCTTCACAGGACGATCGATATCGGAGGCAACAACTTAGTGGAAAGAGAGATAGAGGACTACAGGTGCGTCCTACCCTAGGTGTCTCGACGAGGCGAGATGAGCCGACGCCTCTTACCGCTGCGCACAGGGATGTTCAGGTTTCTGGCCTGATATGTCATATCGACGCATATCCATGGCCAGAAACACCTCAGGGAGCAGGCACGCAGATTACCATACCATCGGACGAGACCCGTCAAAACACCTCGTTGTCGGCGCAGCACACGTCCTTCACTTGGAGGACTGCCGTAAGGCCGGCCCACCCTGTACCCCCGACTCTGGATGACCTGCCAGCCTTTCGGCAACCTGAAAGGCCGGACCCCGACCCAGTCCTTGCCGTCATCAATGGACTGGCGATACGAGAATCTCACTCAGTGACGACCGACATAGTTGTGAGTCCAGTGCTATTCTCCGCACGCGGATATACGGTAATCCACGCTCAAGGGTACCCGGGCGGTGGAGGCGCAGATAATCACTCACGAAGCCCAATATATCATCGTGTTTGTGTTTGCAGTATGTTCATCCAGTTCCTTTCGCGAACCAACGACTCATTCTATACTGAATGACATACAGGATCTTGCGATGAAACGCGAGGGGAACTTTCTGTTCAGATACAGGGCATTTGACTTGCTATCGCCCAACAAAGAACACATGGTAGCCGAAGGAAGGGCCCCGATTCCGATGCTGGCCGAGTGCTTCTCGCGAGACGCTACCAAAATATGGGATACCAAGACGTTCCCAGGTTTGAGGCCGTCGACGAGCTTGACAATGGTGATCAATTCCACAATTCGCCCGTGCCATGGCTAATATCCTTGTTACTTTCAGGAAATTGCTGCGCAATCCAAAAGCCACCGACCCCGTCTGCGATTGCCCACGAAACGTGCTCGCCGATCAGATAGCGAGTGAATCCGATGGGTAAAGAAGGAACGATCGAACGGGCATGCTGCATGCCTTTTTCGAATATATGGCCGTTTTTACGTCGCGTTAGGAGATACACGAACCTCGCCGACATTCAAGGTTTACCTTCGCCGGTCTATTTTTGCGCTATTGCTGTTTGCGTTTTCGCATGTCACCGTCTCACCTTTGTCGTTGGTAGTAGGGGTTTCCCGACACGTTCCATCGCCATTTCCCCCCGCTCCCCGAAACACGGAATCGTATCGTATCGTTTCCCTGCTTGCGGGAGTCCTCGAGTCCTCACGCTACGTCATACGCGAAAGCCCCGCCGGCATCCCGCTACGTCAGTCGCGCATACAGTCAGTTGCTGGAAGTGAGTCAATGGAATACGTTACGGCGGACCCCTGATGGCTGACGATAATGGCTCAGAAGTCCTTGACGGGATGTAGAAAATCCGAGAGCGACTTCGCGAAGATTAACGAACGGATCCGGGGAATGCCCCGAGCGCAAGAAGATGCGCCCGACCTGTGCGATATCGGCGATACTGTAATGACCACCGAACCTCGGCGACATGAACTAGGCACTGACTGGCCGATTTGGAAATCGATGAAAGGATGCTTCTAGTTCGCATCTGCGATTCATGCAATCGTCACCGGTGCGTAGTCCGACATGCAGTACCGTGCAGCTGAAACAGAATGGAACTCGACTTGGATCTTGAACTGTATGCAGTTCGGTATTCCGTGTTTCCGATGCAGTTCGCGGATGGACCGGGCCCGGAGGTACGTTCCTCCATAACTCAGGTCGCGCCTTGGAGGAACGAAAGCGCGATACGGTCGCATAGCTGGGCACAACATGGGGGCGAAGAATGCCGGGAATGCAGCGCGAGGTCCACAGTTGTCCCCAGAGCTTGGAAGCACCAATCGCCGGGAAGAGTGGACCACGACCTACACAGCGCAATCTCAGCTTAAACCCCGCGGCGGCATACTACCATCTGTGAGATAGATACTCATCAAGGAAGATGGCAGACGGAACTACACATGAATTCGTCGCCCAATCAAACGCCCTTATACAGCTATGAGGCGTTGACGCAACAAATGATACTCGGAGCTTGCATGGACCATAGGCCTAGGTTTGTAACTAACTCCGCTCGCCTCAACAGAGCTCGGACCAGTTGTTTCCCGGGACTTCAGTACCAAGCGCTCGTATAAGCAGGATACGGCCCAACCTCAGTGGTTGTCTATCTGCCACAATGCAGCAGCACAATAGCATGTGTCCCCGATTATTTGTCCGCATGTGTTATTCGAGGCGACATGATTTAGGGAATGAATATTAATGAATGTAGACGCGGAGTGATTCGAGGTGGCGTCGGCGTCTGGCACTTCTTTTCAGGGGCTCGGACGACGTTCCGTTTAACGTGCAAACCTTCCCAAGCAGTAGACCACCATCACCGATGAAAACCGCCCCGTCATCGCAATTGCTATCGTATGTGCTGAGACGCAGCATCCACACAGGGACCCGGCGCACTGCAAGGCTCGACTCCTTACACTGTCTGCCCTGGGGATACCCCACACGGACTTACGCCTCGCAGCCCGCTGCTAGTTCTGCTTCAAGGCCTTCACCTTGGTCACATTCGAGGATATCTACAGTGTTTGGTCTGCTTGTGGCGACCGGTGTCGGTGCGACCGCGTACGGTATGTGCGTAAAGCCCGTGCCTATACTCTGCTTCTGCTTACCTTGCCCGTCTCTCCTTCTGACGTCGTTAGATACGACTTCTTCGCGTCATTCGCGACTTGGCCTGCCGAGATAAAAGCCGATTTGCGTGCTGGGGTCAAAGCGAAGCGAAATGGTGACTGGATCCTGAGCCGTGGCTTCCTGACAAGGTACGTTACCCCATGGATCTCATTGTGTCCCTCCCCTTCTCAATCATGCAATTTTAGGGCATGGGATAATGCTCGAACATTACCTCGCTCCTCATTCGAGCCGGATACATACCTCAAGATATCGGGAATCGCTATCACACTTGCCGAAGTCCTTGAGAACAACCTCCAACCCGACGCCGCATACGAGGTGTACCGATCAGCGCTCGAGCTTTACACTGGGTCAGACCATGGAGAGCCCTCCGGCAGTTCCTCGAAATCTACAACGGTCCTCAAAGACCGGATGCGCACCGTAGCACTCGCTTCCAAGCTCGGTACACTGGCCCAAGCGCTGCATAAACCCATTGAGGACGAAGAAAAATGGCTGACCTATGCCGTCAACGAACTGCTCAAGACGCTCACGATTGTGAAGCAGAATCCGTCGGCCTCTCTATGGGAGACATTACGCGGCCAAAGCTCAAAGAACACCCAACCGAAAGATGGCACGGAACTGGTTCTCTCTGAGCTCGACCTGCCGGCGTGGGTGACGAAAACGGATGTGAGCGCCCCGCTTGAGGCGCTTGGGACATTCTACGCTCAGCATGACAAAATCGAGTGCGTGCTTTCGACCGTCATCCGTTCGATCGTAGCTGAGAAGGAATCGTCAGCTACGCGTACCCTTTGTATCTACATGCAGCCGCCCTTCTCACTGGTCCCGTCGCTCGGTCCCCCTCGACGGGACGTATTGTGGGCGCTACTTCCGTTAGTTCTGTTCCCGATTTATGTCGTGGGGCGCAGCTGCTTGCAAATATCGCCGACCTTACGATCAAATATGACAAAGGGCGAGCGAATCCCGCCGCCATGGCGCATGCTGTGGATACCACCATCGACGCCATCAAGCTAATGCAGCAGGGAATAGCAGAAGCGACGAGCATTACAGGAAAGGTCGATTATGACGCCTGTGACGCCTGTGAAACCGGACTGGTAGCAGCTGTCTACAACATGGGCGCTCTGGCGGAGGTGAGCGACCTCCCTCTTGTCGCGGTTATGTAACGTGGGCTAATAGCAGTTTGCAGATGAATGGCCAACCGGATCAAGCGAGAAAGAACTTCGAAAGCGCCTTGAAGCAGGCGCAAAGGATGGGCATGAGTGAAGGTGTGCGGGAGGCGACGTTGGCTTTGCGGAGGATAGAACGGCAAGAGCGCGCCGACGCGATTGTCAAGGCTAGGGTGCAAGCTCGGGATGGTGCCAAGGCGGCTTCTCCACAACCTTAGAGCGCTTACATGTCTCCGTATCTACACGATACGCCAGAGGATGCGCTGGCGTGGTTTGCGGGATCGCAACCTGGAAACCGCGCATGTATGCACTCAGGTCATAGAGCGAGTTCCAGTCGAGTGATTATAATTAGGGCTAGCCACCCCGGAAACATCAAGCATATTATGCAGTTCAACCAATCCCTCAACCCCGGTGATACTCGGCTAGTGGTATGGCGCTGCGTATTCATACGGCGCAGATCAGTTAAGGCGCTCGTCATCAAACACAGCACTCTCACCGCGTATTCAGCGACTCATACAATTGATCCCGGATCTGCCAGCGGGAGTCAGACAGCCATGTCTTTTTCTCGAAGACGAGGTAATCTTTGACTTCTTTGGGGTCAGTGCGCTTGATGAGCATGCCTCTGCGGTTGTAGGTTGACAACGTCTGCACAAAGACATTGACAATGAATTGGGCATATCGAAATGTAAAGCAAAACACTGAGAGTGTGAAGGCACGCACCTGTAAACTATCAAACCTGACCAACGCGTGTATGAGCCATCGTTGACCCGTCACCGGCGGTTTGGTCGACATGTAGAGCTCCTGAGCACGAAGACTGATTACTGAATTTGGAGCTAACTCTCGATGCAACCTCATTTAAGAATCAGCGGGGCTGAAACGTAGTAGTGCGCGAGAGTTTAGCTTACTTCCATTCATATAATCGGTCTTCGGACTGCCTCCGGCGAATGTGAGTGAGTAGACGGTCACGGTAAGGCGGTATGGCCAGCTGCTTGATCGTGTTCTCATCGCCACTGTTTAAATGCGAAGTTAGTCACGGTAGCATAGTTGACAAAGGCCGATAGGTCACGTACGCGGCAACCGCCACATTGATTTTCGAATAGAGGTCCTTTGTCAAACGGCGGAAGTTGGCCATGTAAGCGTTGGGCTTGGTGGACGCCAACTGGCCAACCGCTGTTATGAGTGGGCTCAAGGGTAGTTAGCGAAGGAAAAGTTTGCACACCTGGAAGATATTCTTCGACCACGGGGACGCTTCCGGGAACTCAGGCACCGCAAGTTTTTTTGAAAGTCGGTGTAGACTACGGGCAAGGACTTGAATGCATGCGAATAGTAAGGAGCAGATACAATGCGACGCACGCAAGGGCATTGTGACCCCAGTTCCACAAATTATCTCCTATCCGTCGATGTATCTCCGTGAGCGGTCCTCCCCTAACCGGTTTGGGGATGTAGACATCTTTTCTTGGTCGTCGTTAGACTCATTTCCAATTTGCGTGCGTTTATACTTCAACGTACCCATAGTGGGCACATTCTGATCGTAAATGTCAAGAGAGGGGTACATCTCCTGGTACCGTTCCATCATCTCCAACTGCTTCAGCTGTTGCTCCTCCTCGCTCATGTTCGGTGATAACCCTGCGGCGGCCTGCTGGGCGCGTGCGCGGGACTCATAGGCGGCCTTGTTTCCGCGTACGCCAGGTCGTCGGACCGCCTGGACATTCTTCGGCGTGGACCTCGCGGGTACTTCCTGTGTCTGCGTAGCGTAGGTGCGCTGTGGGCGGAGGATGCTCTGCCGGAAGGCCACGTATGAAGGAGACGCTCTGCATCTGACAGCCGGGAGCATTTTACCGAAGTTCAAGCAGCTGGTTCCCGTCGTAGCCCAAGGCGCTCCGAACAAAGTTCGACGTGTGGCTGTGCTACTCGAATACATGATACTATCCTCACGCCTACGAAGTGCAGGGCTACTTATGCCTGTTTAGGGACGGTGCAAGGATATACTATACCTACCGACCTAATCATAGTGAGGCTAATCTGCTCAGTACCTGTCGCATAGGAGGTCGCGCATCGCCTCGTTCAGCCCAGCAATCCTGTATGAGAGACCACATCTGGTCAGACGGCGGATTACAGTGGCAATCGCCTCGGTAAGGCCGAGAGGGCCTTGCACCTCGGCAAACCGCTTGCATCACTGCAGCTTCTTGAGCAATTTCGGAAAACGGAGGGCGAAGCGTAAACAACTGAACAAATTCAGCATGTGAAGACTTTGGAATCCTAGTGAGCGTACCTCTAGGCACGCACAGCCAAAGGCGAATACGTCTGCTGCTTGACTTGTGTCGATTGCATCCAATGACAATTCAGTTTTTTCGAAAAGTTCTGGAGCAGTAAACCGGGTATCTCCCAGGCTGCAACCGTTGATTGAAAGTGGGAGTAACCCAAAGTCAGCCAATCGTGCGTGTCCGTTGTCGTCCACGAGAATGTTGTTCTAAGAACACAATCGCGGATATGAGTCCTCACATTGCGAGACAACAGATACCGATAAATACAAACCCCGCGCAAGCCACCGTGGTAGAGTCCCAGATCATGTAAGTGTTCCAATCCCTGAGCTATTTCTCGTATCTACATTCAGTGTCAATAAACGTGAGTCAATGTGCACAAGCTGTACCAGCGTACAGACCAAGCGTGCGACCGTCCTAATGTCGTGTCTTGTCTTCAGGTATTCCAGTACGTTACCGTTCTTCATCCAAGGCGAAACGAGATATAAAGAGTTCCCCGTCGTCACACATCCTGACCAGGTAACATGCTCCAAGGTACTCCCGGGCAGGTACAGACCCAAGAATGGCAGAAGGTGAGGATGAGCTAATTGACGCCATTCCACTATCCTAGCGCGCAGTATCTGCGCACACATATATGAGCACAGTCACGATCTGATGTGATACGCCGACTTGCCAGATAGAACGCTGATCGATCATTTGCGGTGTAGAGACGGGGTCGTTTGAGCGCGACGTAATCACAACGTAGCGAGAGTGCTCGACGTCTGCGACCTCGAAACACGTCGAAAAAGGCACCGCCTGCTACTGGCATGCCACGGTTTCTGGCGCTCAGGAAGATACCCCGCGGGAACAAGCAAGGAGGAAGTGCGTCCACATGCTGGACCAACTTGCAAAGGAGCGCGGTGACACGAGATCGCTCCGATAGATTCCTTGGCTGGTGAACATTTTTCGAGCGATCCAGTGACTAGAAGCAGCGTAGGTGCAATTTCTACGCAAACATGTAGATCTACTGACCTTTTGGACTTCATTCGCTAGCTTGGGCACATCGGCGACTTGCACAGCATTGACGTCCTTTGAGACAAATGAACCAAGTCCGATCGATCTCAGAATGTTTGTTTCACTGTCGCTCAAAGCAAGGGCTATCAAATGTCTTCAGAAAGGTGCAATTCAAGCAACAGTAAGAGGCGAACATGCATTTTTCTCCGCTGAGGCTTATATGTTGCGTGAGCGCTCCCGATTGCTCCTCGTGGAAGGGGCGTGGGTCTGGTCCGTCGTTGATCTACATTCGTATTGAGCATAAACAAGAGGCATGGAAAGGGGACAATCATATCCATACTGACGACGAGGTGGGACAACGGTCCGGCTTGAACGATCACGACTGGCAGTCGGTGCCACGGCTGTCGAAGTTTCGTGCGCAAACGTCGCAGTGTCTCGCGAACGCGCCTGTGCAGGCAGAGAGGCATCTCAATCCCGCATTGCTTGATGCATCGTCGGCTTAGACTTATAACTTGCAAGGGTCTTGCAGCGTTTGCACAGCTTCGAGTGGCAGGATCGTATTACATTCAGGACCTCAGGTCGCGTTTTCAACGTGTTTCGCATCAAGCATTCACTCAAGGGTAAGTACCTCTAACAGTCGCTCATCCCAGCCAATCCTATTACAACTTCACGAGCGCAGTCTGATTGTTCAGTGAGCATGTCCATAACTAAATCCTCGTGGTCCCCTCATGGACATAGAGGCACATGCAGCGCGTCAACATGCGTTTGCGGCGCTGTGAAGTAAAAATACAGATGCTCCCGTCCGCAATCCAGTTCGCCACGTCATCGTCATGATGGCCGTGTATCTGTAACCAGTTCCAGCCGAGGGTTCAAGCTACAGCAGCAGCTTCTCTTATATGGAGCCCGCTGTCTCAGCATCGAGTTGCCACGGTGGGCATCCTTGCACAACCCATGCGTTTCCCGCGTCCTTAGGCACCGGTCATCATACGGCTCCATTCAATGATGTTCAGACTGACCACAGGATGGCAACTTGCTCGGAAATTACAGATTGTCAGAGGCACGGGTTTCCCTTCACCACGATGATACAGATGCTGATCTGCTTGCTCATACCATGACTCTGGACTATGCTGGACTTCTCCATTTCAATCACAGCCGCTCTTGGAGTGTCAAACATTACATAGGGGCTGGCTATCCGCGTTAGACGAAACTGGCACGAGGAAGCGTCATGCAAGCCGAAGCATCATACGCGCTTGAGCGGTCGTTCAAGCATGCCACGCATTCGGCTTGGAACTTGGGTTGTTAACAGCGAGGCTTCGCGCGCGGATTACCATCCTCCCAGGAGGATAGCACGCAGCAAACACTCCCTAGTCGCGGAGTCCCGGGTGCAGGCCTCACTGCACAGCCAAGGCCATCACTTATTAACCAGCACTCTTGCTCTTCTGTCTACCTTGTACTCTGTCGCCTTTCTGCATCACATCTGGGATCCATCAGAGGACTGAATGATGTGGAGACAACGCGTGCTGAAATGGTTGGATGACATGAGGGTCAGTCGAAATAGATGGTATTCCCATTACTCGAATCGTTTCCCCTGACTTCTGTATGTTTTTGTGGGTATAGGCCGGTAGAGCCCGAGGACAGGTCAGCTGAATACTCGTACGATTTCAACGTCGGCTCAGCAGCCATAATGACCAGCAGGACGTGAAGCCCATTGGTACGGGCGCGCAACCCTACATGCTGCGACCAAGGGCTGACAAGAACCATTGTGCTTCAGAAATCAGGGCATCCGAAGCGTCTGTTGTGCTTGCCATTCCTACTTGGCATCCCCAAATCTTGGCAGGTGGATCGGAATTGTCGATGTCATATGCAGATCTGTTCTCAATAATCGCCGAACTAGCCAAGGACCAAATCTCGCAGCAACTTAGGAGCGGGCAAGTCGAGATGAAATTGATTCTATCACAAAAACAAATCATCCCGCTCGTGGATGAGCTTCAAGAGGTATCTTCTTCGCTTCTCCGAGGATTGCTTTTACTCAGTTTCAGCATCATAGTATCTACATTCGCTGGACGTCTCCGAGGTGGATGTGATCCGACGTGGTTACCGACTCCTCACTTCGCTGTGCTTACGCGCGAAGTCAATTCCACAAGCCATCAGTGTCCGTGTCAAAATCCCTGAACCATGTGATCCTGTCAACGGCGGCGGATTTTCGGATGTGTTTAAGTCAAGGACGGACGACACACATGAATTAGTCGCCATGAAACGTCTCCGCTTCTTCACGGCTAATTCAGACATCGAACAACTGGCCCTTTTCCGCGTACGAATGCTCTCTGTTATGGTCTGCTTGTTCTGATGAAACGCAGAATTGTTTGAAAGAGGCATTCATATGGAAACAGTTGGATCACCCGCATGTGCTACCTTTCCGAGGGCTGAACGGGTTGGCCTTGCGCGATGAGGGGCTAGCGAAGCTATGCATGGTGTCCCCTTGGATGGAGAACGGCAACCTGAAGTCGTTCATCGGAACACACAAGAACCCAGACACGAAGCTGAGACTGGTTCGAACATATCCGTGTTCTATATATCACTGATCTGATAACCCTCTGAATTAGGCTCTGGAAATTGCTGAGGGGGTTGAGTACCTGCATTCTCGCAATGTTGTTCATGGTGACTTGCGCGGCGTGAGTACTCCATCTTTGTTCTCGGAAAAGCCGGTGGCAGGTGATTCACGCTCCTATAGTGCAACGTATTGATTGACGCCGACGGTCATGCCAAGATCACGGACTTCGGGCTGTCGATCATGATCTCCAACTCAGTCCAGACCAAAGCGAGTGTCGCTGGTGCCCAGCGATGGATGGCTCCCGAACTACTGGCTCAAGAGGATCCTCAATTCTCGAAGGCTAGCGATGCGTGGTCATTCGCGTGTGTATGTATAGAGGTTAGAGCATGCACTCCGTGGCACCGCAAGTCGCTGATTCCCCGATAGCTCTATAATATTACTTATCCGTATAACAAAATTCACCGCGACGCCGGTGTTATTGCCGCGCATGGACGCCGACAACCGCCGGCCGATTCCCTCGACGGGGCCCCGAATCAGGTCCAACAGGTCGTGCAACAATGTTGGGGATTTTCTCCGACAGAACGTCCATCCATGGAGGACGTCATCACAGCGCTGCATGCGGCTTCTTGAGCTCCATTCGAGATCATGCTCGACGATTTATCTGTCATCGGTAGGATGGCTCTACTACTTACTGTAACAGCAGGATTCCATACGATGTCCTTTGGCCCAGGTCTACCTCAGCAGCGGTACTGGTCAGATATGCAGTCATATCCGTACACTCCCTTGTACTCCCAACCTCTTGCGGACATCCTTCTCCCTCAATGATGATTTATATCCGGAGATACGTAGTTGCATGCACCGTTCTGTAAAGAGAACCGATTTACATAGTACATAGGTCTTTGAAAATATGAGAGAGGTCAAGGATCGTCCGTGATGTATCATGGGGACGGCAAACCCCGAAGTCGGCACGAAACCTCTCCTAGGACGGACTGACATCGGGTTCCACTACGACACCAATCTGGTCACCACATCTCTCATTTGAGGTCAAGCATCGATAGACTGAGCCCAGCAATGCCTAACGAGTGATCACAATCAATTAGATGGAGGTTCGCGATAGAAATTGCTCATATAGAAGGACGAGGAGGATGTTCACTTGGTACAACCATCTCCGCTCCATGTCAAGCTCCTGATTGATCCCTGCAAACGGAGGGTGGAGGGTAAACAGCTGCAAGAGGTCTTGAACGTTGGTATCTTTATAGAACAATACGCGCTACCTCTATGCAGACGCATGCGAATGCGTATACATCTGGAGCCTAGTAAGTACGTGGCCGTGTTGTCCGATGACGTATCAGCATCTTGAAGGAGTTTGGGAGCCATGTAGCGAACGTTCCCCACGCTGGATCCGTTGATGAGAAGGGGGAAGTATCCCATAGTCGACAAGTTGTACATTGATGGTTATCACATAAACGAACAAAGACCAACGCAATTAACCAAGCTTTGGACAGTCTTCGCGCCTGGTTTGGTCTTCAGCAAGTAAATCGCAACGCTACCATTCGGGGTCCAAAGAGAGACGAGAAATAGCGGCGGCCAATTTGTCTCCAAGCTGGCGTGGCCTGGTACGCCTTCCGGCGCATATAGGCCAAGGCATGGAAGAACGTGGGCTTAAGCTAATTGGCGCCCCTCGATCAACCTAGTTCGTGAGATCTATACCCGCATGAACTCATGCTTGACCTCAGAAACGTCGATGGGATTTTCGAGCCGTGTGGACACAATTGAGACGCATGAAGTCCCGAGCGGCGATCCCTGAACGAACATCATTCCCAAAGCTTCACATCGGCGGCCAGGTGAGGATTCCTCCAACGATTCGCGGGTGCGACGAGGAAGCGAGTGGGATGCTTCCTCGGGGCACGACGGAGTGCCAGGTATAGCACCCGCAACTACATGATGAGATATGCGCACCGCGGAGAGATGCGGGGGTGGGGGTGGGGGTGGTAGAACAAGGGACGAACGGCCGCGATTGACTAACTTGCCCATGGATCGACGAGAGCAGAGCCTGTCCGGGAATGAAGAAGAAACCCAGAGCGCCGAGAATATAACGTTTGTCGGATGATATGTCGCTCCTGTCGCCGTAAGGGGATGGTACGTCGCGCGCATACGAGGATGGCGAGCGGCGGCTGACGATCCGTCATTCAATCACCACTTGAGCGTCCTTGAAGCTTGTGAACGACTGGTCGTACGACCATGGAGCAGTACGGGTTCAGGATTCGTCTTCCACGATCCGTTCTGTCCCGAGGGGGGTGCTTGCAGGGTACCCCAAAAACAAGCTGAACGGAGGGTGGTGACTGCGGTCGCCCCTCATGCGGCATGCCATTGGCCTGGCATACGGACGCCCGTAGGATGAGACGAGTCATAGTCCTGGGTCGGTTGGAGCGGGCGAGAAGACCGAATTGGCTATGTTTTCTCCCGCAAGGATATCAGATGCTCGAAGGGGTGCAATCGAGAGTGTCTGTAGATATGATGAGCGTGTTTCCGACTAGACGCGTTTGCGAGGGTGAGTGCTCGCGAAGGCGGCCCTTGGCACGGATGTCCGGGCGCGTCCTGGTGTACTCGCGACGGTTTCGACGACGACCGAATTCATTAGGGTGCGAGGAGGCGCTGGTGACTGTGGGAGGTGTCCAAGTCGAGACGCAGCGTAGGACGCGGTCCATCCCGCGTCTCCTCCGTCCAATGAGCACCGTCGCAAGGATCTCAAACGCTGCGCCGCCGGGCAGTGTATCCCAATCAACAATTTGTTCGGCCGGTTGACCGCCTGATCATCTGCACGGCTGCGACTGGTCAGAGCCGCTTGGTCTCGCAGGTCGCCAGGCAACGGGCCAGGGACGGGGGCAAACGGCATCCACCGCGCTCCGGACGAATCACCTTCAGCTGCTTTGGCCCGACCCAGACTATCAGATCCCGGGGCGAGAACTAGATCGCGCCCGGTGCCATGGACTGTTATAAGCTACAGCGCTCCATCCCGGGTCTGCACGTAGAGCCTGCGCCGTCCCCCATTGGACTCCCGTCCCCGCAATCCACCCCCAAATCCCTCGCACCGTCTCTGGCAGACGTCCGCCCGCGAGTACATATACTCCCACCTCGTACCTGGTTTCGCAGCTAGCTAGCTAATCCAACATGCCGACCCGCACGCTTACCCCCTACTGGTCCAACGGTGTCCAGCGCCTCAAGGCCGTGCCCGAACGTCAGTTTTTTCCCCGCCCCCTCGCCCCAACGGCGTGACTCGTCCTCCCCTCCTCCTTCCCTCCATGCTCTATCTACGCTTTCTTCGTCGCGTACCTACCTTTGCACGCACCTATGCTCACGCGTCTAACCTCAACGTAGCCCCGCCCAAGCCCGCGCACGGTCTCACCCCGCCCAAGCTCACCGACGACGATGTCCATGCCGAACGGTGCCTCCGCCAGCTCCGCTCCAAGGACAAGGCCATCGAAAAGTACATCTACCTCTCTCAGCTCAAGCTCACGGACGAGAACATGTTCTACAAGCTCTGTCTCCGCTACATGGCCGAGTTCACCCCGCTCATCTACACGCCCACCGTCGGCGACGCGTGCATCCAGTTCTCGCACAATTTCCGTCGCCCCGAGGGCTTGTTCGTCTCTATCCACGACAAGGGTCGCATTGGTTCCGTCATCCGCAACTGGCCCCGCATCCCGGAGGCTCGCATCGCCGTCGTCACCGATGGTACGCGTGCTCTAGCATACTCACAACGTTTTCCCTTGCTTATTCGTTCGTCCACAGGCTCTCGTATTCTCGGATTGGGCGACCTCGGCGTGAACGGCATGCCCATCTCGATCGGAAAGCTTTCGCTCTACGTCGCCGGCGCCGGCATCCGCCCCTCCTCCACCCTTCCCATCTGCCTCGACCTCGGCACGAACAACGAGACCTTCCTCGCCGACCCGCTTTACCTCGGCCACCGCCACCCGCGCGTGCCCTCCCCGGACATGTCCGCCTTCATGCACGAGTTCATGGACGAGATGTCCAAGGCGTTCCCGAAGATGCTCATCCAGTTCGAGGACTTCTCGACCGAGAATGCGTTCATGTACCTTGACGCCTTCCGCGAGCGCTACCCCGTCTTCAACGACGATATCCAGGGCACAGGTGCCGTGGTCCTCGCCGGCTTCCTCAACGCCGCCAAGCTCTCCTCCGCCGCGTCCGGCCGCCCGCTGACCGACCACCGCATCCTCTTCCTCGGCGCGGGCTCCGCCGGCGTCGGCGTCGCGATGCAGCTCATGTCCTTCTTCACCCTCCAGGGCCTCTCCGAGGAGGAGGCCCGGAGCCGGATCTACCTCGTCGACTCGCAGGGGCTCATCTACGACGGCCGCGGGCCGATGGCCGAGCACAAGAAGTACTTCTCGCGCACGGACTACGCCGGCCCGCCGGTCAAGGACCTGCTCGACATCGTCGACCTCGTCAAGCCGACCGCGCTCCTCGGCCTCTCCACCACCAAGGGCGCCTTCTCCCAGCCCGTGCTCGAGCTCATGGCCGCGCTCAACCCGCGCCCGATCGTCTTCCCGCTCTCGAACCCCGTCCGGCTCTCCGAGTGCGAGTTCCACGAGGCGCTCACGTACACCCGCGGCGCCGTCGTGTTCGCGTCCGGCTCGCCGTTCGACCCGGAGGCGTACGGCGGCCGCACGCACTACCCGGGCCAGGGCAACAACATGTACGTCTTCCCCGGCATCGGCCTCGGCGCGATCCTCGCCCAGGCGAAGAGCGTGACGGACAGCATGGTCGAGGCGAGCGCGCTCGGCCTCGCGGACGCGCTCACCCCCGACGAGCGCGCGGACGACCTCATCTACCCCCGCCTGGAACGCATCCGCGAGATCAGCGCCCACATCGCGTGCGCCGTCATCAGGGCCGCGCAGAAGGCGGGCGTGGACCGCAACGAGGCGCTCAGGAAGCTCAGCGACGGCGAGCTGAACGAGTACGTGACGGGCAAGATGTGGAACCCGTTGTAGACCACAAAACAGAGGAAAAAAGCTTCTGGCATGGAGCACGTTTGAGTTCGAGTATTTTGTCACCCTTTTCTGCGTTGGTTTGGATTTCGGTTGGTTATATGCGGATATGTATAGATGCCTGGGTCTAGTGCAGAGCCTGGGCCGTATGCTTGTAGATTACTTCTAATAACGTATGCATACTTAGCTGGGAACTACGAACGTTCATCAGCATCTCCCCTACTTAGCTGAACATCTGCGTCGGAGCGGTGCGTCGACTTCGGCTCACTGGAACCGCCGAGACTGTAGGTGTGCCACCTGCATGATATCGTGCAGCGCGGCAACCATAAGTACCCCAGCACGAACGCAGTCGCGAGCAGTCGCGCCACCGGCCACTTCCATCTTACCACGTCATTTCATGCATCGGTCAAACCCCTTCGCCGTCTCTACCAGCGGAGAGCGTCCCATGAATACCGTCAGGTTCAGTTCGATGCCAGCAAGGGCTCCCAGCGCCTGCCGCACCTCGCATCGGCGATAATAGACTGGGCTTCTCAGCCTGCGGCCGGTGGTGTTATGTCGTACAACGTGCACGGAACGATACTTTATTGGCAAGGGAAGAGCTTACTTCGTCGCGTGCTGCGAAGTTGAGGTCACTCCAACCCATACGGCGAAAGCCTTACCATCGGGTCCTTCGTCTCTCCGAGGATGGCAAAGGAGCTGGTGCCCGTACAGTCGAACACCTCATAATGCATAGGGTGATAATGCATAAATCTGATAATGCATCGGTTTTGGCCTGTAACCACCATGGTTTGCAGGGAATTGCGGGCAAATTGCATAATTGCATAACGCATAGCCCAAATCGTACCTTTATGCATTATCAGATAGGCTGGGCATACCAAATATGGTTATATATTTCCATATATAGACAGGTAAGCCCCTAAAAAATATGTAAAGGTCTCACGCTGGGACCCTCACGTGATGTTAGCAGCGCCGAGCGTGGACTTAGGGTTAGGGACTACCTTCTTGGGCTTGCATAGGGTTAGGGTCAGCTGCTGGAAGTGCATAAACTTGATAATGCATAGCAATGAGGGTGTAACCGACGCTATGCGTTATGAGATGTTCGACTGTATATCAGATCCATGACACGAGGGTCGCATTCAGGTCATTCCTCGATTGGCTGAACGCACACCTATGCTCTATATCACCCTTATCCTGGCCGTCTCGTGCTACCTGACGGTGGAGGTGTTGCAGATCGGCCGGAGACGACGATGTTGGCCTCCTGAGCCACCGACATTGCCCGTCGTGGGGAATCTGCATCTGTTATCACCGACGGTTACTCATCTGCAGTACGTTCGGCGACCTCAACGGCTGTATGGTTCTGACGTGCGTTTCGTAGGTTTACTAAATGGACGAAGATCTATGGCGAGATATTCTCGGTGGGTGTATCCTTCCGCCGCACTGCCCACAGGTCGTTCACGCGGTGCAGTTGACACTGGGACCTGGTGTCATGGTCGTCCTATCCAGTTCCCACGCGGTTCGCGAAATCCTGGATAAGCAGAGCGCCATCACGGGAAGCAGACCTCCCTCTCACTTTGACGACATCCTGCACGAAGGAAAGTACCTCGCGATCTGTCCGTCTTGTGAGCTCCTTTATCTTGCCATTTGCATGCATGCCAACAAAGTTACGTAGCGAATGAATGGCGTCTTCTTCGCAAAGCGGCCAACTCGCTGTTGACTCCGCAGTCGGCCCAGAGGCAGATACCCATCCAACGGGCGGAGTCGCTTCAACTTATGCACGATGTTCTGAAGGTTCCCGAGGTACGTCAGGCTCAGCTAATAATGGTAACTCTGTGCTGACAGAAGCCACCCAGCGAACGTGGTGGCACCTGAGGCGAACAGCAAACTCGTCCATATTCTCAGTGCTATGGGGAAAGCGCGCGCCAAAGTGCGATCCTTGATTTTTTTTTTTTTTTGGGGGGGGGGGGGGGGGAAGCAATGAGCGTGACATGGCTTCTGGCAAACAGATTGGATTCCTGCGACATTTCGACGGTCTTCAAGATCGCGGAAGCAGAGGTTCAAATCTATACTCCCGGCAAGTATGCCCCAGTGGATGTGCTCCCAATCCTCAAATATCTGCCGGAGCGTTGAGCTCCATGGAAGGCGATTTGTCGAGACCTCCGGAACATGCAGATCTCGTTCTATACGCGCCTGATGCAGGAATGCAGAGATAGAGTCTCCGGCGGCCGGTACACAGACCTCGACTGTTTCATGGACAATGTGATCAGGAGACAGGAGGAGCTGGAGCTCACCGACGAGATGGCCGCGTATGAACAGCTTTCTCCATGACGTAGGGTGTTATCTGACACAGCTGACTTGATATAGATTGTTAGGTACCGTGCTCCTAGAAGGCGCTAGCGACACAACGCCTACGCTCCTCCAATCTTTCTTGCTCCTGGTGACCGCTCATCCTGAAGTGCAACGCAAGCTCCACGATGAGATGGACAGCGTAGTAGGAGTGGGGCGCGTCCCGAACCCGAACGACTTCCAGAACTTACCATACCTTCAGGTTGGTCTGCTTTCGCCTAGCATGTTCCACGGGGAAAGATAAACCAAACACCGCGATGATTAGGCTACGATGAGGGAAACTCACAGGTTCAGGCCCGTGTTCCCCATTGGGATTCCCCATTACACTCTTGAGGACGTTATTGTGAGATCCCTTGTCACGATAAGTTTCTGAAGAAGCTAACCGCACTCGAGTATGGGAAATATACGATCCCAAAGGGCAGCGTCCTGGCAGTCAATCTATGTAAGCGCTAGGCATGACGATGTTCACACCCTTGGGCTGAACGGAGTCCCGCACTAGGGGGGATCTACCACGATCCGGAGGTGTTTGAGGACCCACATACGTTCAACCCAGACCGTTACATGCAGTCCGAATTTGGTGTGAAACCAGCCATAAATGACACCCTGTTCAGGCATTCTCTGCCTTGCGGCGTCGGACGGGTACGGTCATGCATAGCTTTCATCGGTGTATATATTCTAACCCTCGCGTCTGTGCCAATCAGAGAATTTGCCCTGGGAGACATGTCGCGGAACAAGCAACGGTATGCGTTGACTGTGCTGCGGCTAGCGCTCATGAACCTTGGACTAATCGATTTCCGCCCTAGCGCATTCAAGCTGCTGATCTCATATGGGGATTCGAATTTACCGCCAACGAGCCGCTGGACTTGAATGCTTACGAACCCGTGAGTTGGTGTCGCCGACTTGTCTTGCCCAAGCGACTGAACCAGCGATATTCAGGGAATAGTCATGGCTTCCAAGCCTTTCAAGGTCTGCATCAAGCCGCGTAGTATGCACCACGGAGAAATCATCGAGAGCGGTTTTGCGGACGCCATCCCATTGTTTGCTCCGTACGAGGAGCGGTTGAGCGCGGAAGAGAAGGAGTGGTTGGCTGAAAATAGACTTAGCGGGAACTAGTAGCATTGTTCACGTCATGGCAATGCAGACTGTTGACCCGGAATTTGGAAAGCTCGCAGTCATCGTGAAGCTACTGGTCCTTTGGTGTTTGGACAGCGAAGAAACGCCTGACCCGGCGGTAGGAAGGAGGGCACTCGTGGTATAATCCAGCGTAGTAGATAACATACAGTAGTGAAAACTCAGTCGATGAGGTACTTGCGCTTGAAAAACGAACAAAGGTGGAAGGTTCGCCACGCCGGGAGAAGATAATGAAGTACGCGAAATTGTTGACGCGTCTGAGTTTTGACTCTAGACTCTAGAGACCGCACAACGATATGTATTAGCCGCACAGAGTGGCGGAGGTTAGGACAAGACCGACAAACCATTCGTTGCCGAGAACCGCTCCTCGCATGTCTTCAAGTATCCTAATTCATCTGAGACCTCCATAGGACCAAAACCTCGCTAGACGCTTGACGCTTGACTACACCCGCGAACTTTTTGCACCGATTGGTCCTCATCGACCTCATACAAATTCTGGGAGCACGCTTCGCTGGACGAATCCTCTCGGGTTGACTGCAATTAGGAATCGGAATCTCGGGCATGAAGTCATGTCTTGTCGGCGAACTGTGGGCACCCACCCTACCATCGTGAAACTATGGAGTATGTGGGCCGGTACCTGTTGAGGGGCATATGCTCGTAATCCATCAACACTACCACCACCACCACCGCTACAGATTCTAGCCTCGTGGTTGCAATCTGAACGCTACACGAAGCCCTCCAGCAAGGTGTACTGTGCCCTACGACGACTCAGCCCGGTGAGCAGTACGCGACCACCTACTGTGCCCTACGACGACTCAGCCTGGTGAGCAGTACGCGACCACCTTGAAGAACCGGTAACTTGATACCTTGGGAGCTGTCGGACGCGATTGATAGGGGCGAACACGGCCTTTCCTCCCAAGGCAAGAACTCGGGCCGCACGACATTGGGGCCTTCCTCGACCTACATAGAGATCCACGATGCGTCACTCGTGGGACGAGTCGCTCAAGAACAACTGCTGGGCCCTTCGATTCTCCAACAATAACGTAAACCTGAAAAGTGTTATATCATGACACAATGCATGCTCCAGCTCCCTGAAACCATCTCACTGCCCCGTCATGATTGACATTGCCCTCGCACTAGTCGTTTTATGCTATCTGCTCACCAAAGCGTCGCAAGTGGGCCGACGACGGCCAGGTTTACCTCCTGGCCCACCGACATTGCCGGTGCTCGGGAACCTGCATCTGCTATCTCCGACGTATACCCATTTGAGGGATTTTTCTTATCAAATCCTTGGTTCAGTGACTTTGGCTGATTTCGCGCACAGGTTCACCGAGTGGGCGAGGAAATACGGAGATATATTCTCGGTAAGCGCGACCGTTCATGCATCTCCGGTGCGAAGCTCACTCCCCCTCAGTTGACTCTTGGCCCGGGGGTCATGGTAGTGCTGTCTAGCGCCCATGCAGTTCGCGAGATACTGGAAAGGCAGAGCGCGGTCACCTCGAGCAGGCCTCCCTCTCACTTCGATGACATCCTTCACGAAGGAAAATACCTTGCTATCTGTCAAGCGTGTGCGCCTCCTTCTCGAAAGCGTATCCCATCCTCGTTGTTGATTGCACCGCATAGCTAACAACTGGCGGCTCCTGCGAAAAGCCGCCAACTCCCTGTTAACGCCACAGTCCGCCGTGAAACATATACCCCTTCAGCGAGCAGAGTCGCTTCAACTCATGTATGATGTCATGAAAGCTCCAGAGGTACATTCACGCTGTCCCAACGTCGCTCCGAATTGATCGAGTGTGTGCAGCGAACGTGGTGGCATCTACGGCGAGCAGCCACGTCCGCCGTCTTCTCAGTACTATGGGGGAAGCGCGCACCCAAGTACGTTATCCTCGCGTATGGTTGCGTATCACATCTGACAACACGCATCGCCAACAAGGATCGACTCACAGGACGTCGCAATGGTATTTGAAATTGCCGAGGCTGAAACTCAGGTGTATACGCCCGGCAAGCACGCCCCGGTGGACCTACTCCCGATCCTCAAATATGTGCCTGAGCGGTGGGCGCCGTGGAAGGGGATTTGCAGGGATCTCCGAGAACTGCAGATGTCGTTCTACACACGCTTGACAAACGAATGCAAGGAGAGGATGTACAGCAGCCAGCAAGTCGATACACTCTGCTTCATGGATGCCGTGGTCAAGCGACAGCAGGAGTTGGAGCTCACGGACGACATGGCTGCGTATGCTCTATACATCCTCGACGATCCGCACTCTGATTAGCGGTCTGCCCTAGATTACTCGGTGCCGTGCTGTTGGAGGGTGGTAGTGACACAACGGCCACATTTATGCAATCGTTCCTGCTGATGGTGACCGCTCACCCCGAAGTACAGCGCAAACTGCACGAGGAAATGGATAGGGTTGTTGGAGATGGACGCACGCCGAACATGGACGACTTTCACAACCTACCGTATCTACAAGTACGTTTCAAGTTCTTTCGGACGCGCAGGTGATGATCATCTTTCCAAAGGCCACTCTGAAAGAAACCCATAGGATCAGACCCGTGTTTCCCATCGGTATCCCCCATGCTACACTGGACGACATCATGGTGAGTCTTGTACCTCCATGAGCAGCATTCTGTGCGTTGCTCGGCCATAGTCACTAATGCTGTCGAAGTATGAGGATTACATCATCCCGAAGGATAGCACTGTGGCAATCAATCTATGCAAGTACCGAAGGTTTCACCAGACGGGCGCGTACTTACCTATGCTGTCGTCAGGGGGGATCTATCATGATCACGATGTTTTCGATGATCCGGAGACATTCAACCCGGATAGATATATGACGTCGGAGTTCGGCGTCAGACCCGGCGTGGATTGCGCGGCTTTCAAACATTCCCTACCATTTGGTGTGGGCCGGGTATGCTCTTGTTCAACGTGTGCATGCGCATGTTGAGATGTACCCTTTTCAGAGGATATGTCCAGGGAGACATGTTGCGGAACAAGCAATGGTCAGCAGTGTGCGCTTGTTCATCCGAGCAGCATCGCTCAATGACATTACATCCTCAGAGGATACAAGCTACAGACCTTATATGGGGATTCAAATTCACGTCCAAAGAGCCCATCGACATCGACGCCTATCTTCCCGTACGCCTATCGGCTCATTCCTTTCATGTTGGTGTAATGACTTTCGACTACTAGGGACTGGTCTTGGCCTCCAAACCATTCACGGTGTCCGTTGAACCTCGAAGTGTCCGACACGAAGAAATGATCAGAAAGGAATTTTTGGATGCGATCCCCGCTTTCGCACCTTACGAGGAGCGGTTGAGCGTTGAAGAGAAGGAATGGTTAGCGAAGAACAGGCTCGGTGGGGCTTAGGCATGCAGGTGTGGAGATAGTTATCAGAGCATGCATTCGAGACTGCGGCCTCACTGGGGGTCATCATAATCCTATGCACTTCCGTCGGCTGCTCTAAGCCGCAAGCAACCGCCACGAAGAAACCAACAAGAACAGCTTTGCGGAAATGACCCGTCTTTTGCAACGCATGAGGAGCGATTGGGCATTGAAGAAAAGGAGGGGTTGACGGAAAATGCGCTTAACGGAAACCACGAGCGTAGTTCACGCCATGGCAATGCACGTTGTTGACCCTCAGTTCGTGGTGGAAAGCTTAAAGCCATCATGAAGCTTCCAGTCCTTCGATTCTTAGGTTTGGCATATGGAAGCAGTGCTGAGGCCTGGTGATAGACTGAGGAAAGTGAAGGCACACATGGTATAATCCCAGCCTAATAAGATTAGAAAAGTAGAGTAAGCTCAGTCGATGAGGTACTTCCGCTTGAAGAACGAGCGGAGGTGGAAGATCTGCCACGCCCCAAGTGCCGTCAGGGATAAGATAATGAAGTACGAAAAGTTGTTGACGCGTCTGAGGGTTGATTCTAGAGCCCACACAACGCTATCAATGGGAAGAAATAGTGGGTGTCAGAGCGACGAGGGCGCACCGTTGGTGGCAGAGAACCGCTCTTCGCGTGTCTTCAAGTATCCTAGTTCGTCTGAAATTTCCTTGACTATACCTTCAAGTTTACGCATTTCGGTCTCGAGAGCGGAGAGGGACTCCTGATTCGCTATGGCACTGCAGAGCCTTGTCAGCAGCACATCCAAAGCACGCAAGTCACCAAAGGCATACTTGTAGTCCACAGCGTCAGCGCCAATGTCCACGTCCAAATCGACTATGCGTGTCGCGTTCCTCGCATGTTGGGGCGGGTAATCTGCTCATGAGCCCGGTCAGACGTTTCGCCCGTCACTTCACTATGAGAGCAGGCAGAACGCACTCGCATTCAACCAATTCCTGAGACACACTCCCACCTCGCCGTCAGCGTGCGTGGTGACCGCCAGCCTTGTCTCGCCCTTGATGTTCTTCTTGCTCAAATACACGTTCTTCTTCGGGCTTGAGTCGATGATTTCGACATCCACTCTTTGTCCAGCACCCTCTCCTACATTTGCGGTGACAATAACTAGAGCGTTTTCGTGTGCAGCATTCCATATGCATTTCGCCGGTGGGTACCGGTAGCCCGCCAGGGAGAACTTGATGGCATGGGCCGGGAGCGCGGTCAAGGAGAGCGCTAGGAACAACGACGCAAGTTTCATGTTAAGATAGACCAAGACGACGGCACTGGAACGTGGGGTAGCGCAAGTGATCGAGTAACTGTAGAAAGGGCCAGCCTGGCGTTGAAGGCGTCTGAGGTCGTGGACGTGGCTGAGCGTGAACAAGGATCCCTCTCAGCCATCACCGGCCCGCGGCACGCAGCGTTCTATGAAGCTTGCCATTGCGTATTACTCTCCGTTTCGCTCACATGCGGCCATACGAACGTGGTGATGCGACGGATATCCGACCAGTTCTGCGCTAAACATATCCGGCCGAGGCGGTTGATTTTGCCCAGGGCGCGCCTGGTCTATCCAGGTTTGGCCAATGTTCCGGACACGGAACGCAAGATATGACTTCATCGCCTTGATAAACCTCCCACTGTTGCCGCGGGTGAGCGGTACGATACATCCTAGTGCGACCCAGCAACCACCCCGCGTCCGTTGCTGGCCGTATCCCTCGTCATGTCTCCCCATGCCTCGAAGGGTAGTCCAATAGCAAAGATCGAGGTATGTGAACGATGAATGATCACCGTGACCGTGGTTTGAGGTTTGATCGTAGTTATTCCGCCTTCCTCCTCGTTGGCTCTTCGTTCGCGTTGAAACCTCCGACGGATTCGTTGGCTGGGGTGAAAGCACGCTCGAGGGACATACGGAGGCTGTCGAAGGCGCTTTCGAGGACTTACGCCAAAGATTCGTCGGATCAGACGCAGACAACATCGAAGATATATGGCAGACCGCATATAGAGCAAGATTCTATAGAGGTGGCCCTGTGCTCATGGTCTGTAACAGCCATTTTCTCAGTTCACGCTTGATGGCTGACCGGCCCCCTTTTTATGATAGTCAGCCTTGTCAGGCCTTGACATCGCTTTATGGGACATCAAGGGACGGAAACTCAGTGTACCGGTCTGGCAGCTCCTGGGAGGCAAGGTACGCGATCGCGCCCGCGTTTATGGATGGATTGGCGGCGATAAACCGGAGGACGTTCTTGAGCAAGCCGCATATAGGGAAGCCCAAGGCTTCACGGCCGTGAAGATGAACGCGACTGATGCCCTCGAGTGGATTGACTCTCCCGCGAGGCTCGAGTCGTGTGCGAACCGCGTTAAAGAGGTCCGATCGCTTGGAATAGACGTTGGCGTGGACTTCCATGGTCGCCTTCACAAGGGTATGGCGAGGCAGCTCGCGAAGCTACTAGAGCCTGAGAAACCGATGTTCATCGAAGGCATATATCTGCGTCTCTTCTGTGGATGTTTCGGATGACGAACCGCCGTGCCTGCAGAACCCCTGCTGCCTACCCAGCCGGAAGAGATCGCTGACCTCGCGAGATCGGTTTCCACCCCGATTGCGGTCGGCGAAAGGTTATATACGCGACATGATTTCCGACCTTACTTCGAGAAACGAGCGATAGACATCGCTCAGCCAGACGTGAGTACATATCCCGAACTTATGTATCGCTGAGCGTGCCATGAACTCACCGGGATGCTCAATACTCAGGTTTCTCACTGTGGCGGCATATCGGAACTCAGACGCATAGCGTCCATGGCAGAGACATACGACGTCGCTCTCGCGCCACATTGTCCGTTAGGGCCAATAGCGCTTGCGGCATGCCTACAAGTTGCGATCAGCGCACCGAACTGTGAGTTACAGGTTCAACTATCCTACACCTCACGTCAATGACCTTTGTGGCTCGTAGTTGTAATACAGGAGATGAGCTGGGAGGTGAGCTTGATCAGTACTCCGGGAAGGATATAACTCACTATGGGCTCACGACGTTTTGTAGATCCACTACAACAAAGGAGCTGATCTCGCAACGTACCTCGTCGACCCATCCGTATTCGCCATCAAAAACGGTTTCGTGGAGGCACTTTACGGTACGTCGATATTTGTTATCACGTTCCTCAGTTTTGATGTCTCCGTAGGACCTGGTATAGGCATCGAGATCAATGAAGCACTCGTCAGAGAGACGTCGGAGAGTTATGTCAAAGAGAAGGCATGGAGGAACGACGTGTGGAGAGGCGAGGATGGCAGTTTGAGGGAGTGGTAGCAAGCTATCATTGAATCTTCACGTTCGCTCGGCGGTCTCTAGCATGGTAAATTGGACAATGGAATCTATTTGGTAATTACTCGGGTCTATCGCCGCTGCCAGCCTCCCTATGTCACCCTTCGTCTTGGAGAACACATGGATTTAATCCATGAGGTCGTCTGGGCAACGTCGACCCAACTCGTCTTGCCTAGACGCGGCTCCACCGCGCGCCCTGTTACATCTGCGTGGCCGATATGTGTCCAGACAACGTAAGAGACGCCGATGTATGTCGCCGTTTCCTGGTTTGCAGGGTCGAGACTCGAGGCGCGAACTCGATGCAATATGGAGTCACCGCTTCCCCAACAAGATCGACCATCTGTCATGTCGCTGAAAAGTCTCGCGTTCTCTTCCTATCAACTGAAGTCTTGCTTGACTGGGCGAATTACGTATGCCCCTGAGACATCGTATTCTCTTCGAAGGCAATCAGTAGGTCCGCCGTAACTACTTCCTGTGCGACCTTCGTGCTAACATTCGACACGCAGGGTCCTCGAACAAATCGCTCGCTGGAGAACTCAAAGAGGGATTCGCTAGCGCGAAGATCTGTTCCGAAATAAAAATTTACGCCAACCGTCTAAGACGGATGGCAAACGAATTTCGGCACTTCGTCGGGCAAAACCGCTCGCTGCTATATCCTCATGCCTTACATCAGCAGCAAGGACTCCATTGTCGTGCTTGTTGCTTATTATCAACAAACCTCTGCAGTGTTCATACAGCCTTCCCAATACCCATCGTCCATCTGTTTCTTGACGACACTCGAGAGGCTCCGAAAAACCGAGTCGGGCTTTCATGGCATTGTTCGCTCGTTAACGGCATGGTTGCAAGAAGCCAGAAAAAGAGAAGAAAAGAAACACGCGCTTGAAGATGAGAAGGCGCTTGCGGATCTTCGAGTTGTCAGCCCCGTCATGCAACATCTGCGTTTCAGGACGGTGCATGTGGGCGATTCGTTGGTCACAGTGACTACGTACTGAATCCAAGGATCAGGTCCAAATTCGGCGCGCAGGCAGAAAA